ATATATATATAGTTTTCGGGGCAGCGAAGAGCTGAAATAAATGGGTGAAGTTGTTGAGTTTCATCCTTCGTCTCCACTGAGAGTAGCGATATGATATATTTTGTGTTGTTCTAGAAAATAGAAAGAAGCTTTGGATGTTTTTATGATGGTTAGCGTCATTATCATTATTAACATAGTCATTATAGGACAATCAGTTTTCAATAGTTCCTACCGTTGTTGCGGGTACGCATTCTGCATTCGTTATTTATTTTTCATATTATAATGTTTTTATTGTCATCGTCGTGTTTATTCGTACATTCGCACAAACAGAAAACGGCACCCGCTTTGTGGAGATCCCAGGTATCCTCGGAATTATCCGGTTTATGGTCATTTGCTGCTCACGTTCACTTTATCATGATCACCATTATTATTATCGTCTAACTTAATAAACTTAATTAATTACACGTCATGCGTCCTTTCTTGTTCCCGTAACCGTAGCCGGTATTATGACTACTTGGGAAGAGCCGCTTGTATAATCAAATACAAACAATCATTTAGGGCATAATAAGAAATGTCGAATAGAGCTCGTTTACGACAGATAAATCGAGCCGATACAACAGGGGAGTCCCCTGAAATATGCTTAGATGCAGTACTGTTTGACAATCCAATTTGTTACCTCTGAATATATAAATTCTTGCTTGGTTGCGAGTTAAATCTCTAAAAAAGCGATCAGGAACCTTGTGTCGTGAACTACGATTCCTCACAAGAGGTGATTTTCTCAATCAACGTAAATGTTGCATTTGTTCTCTGGTCAAATTCGTTTTAAATTTTGACCACACAATATGCAAAGTGCACCATATTGCGTGCTAGCATTGCTCTCTTACGCTCGGTCTTACTATATTAGTTGTAATTATTAGTTTGTTAACTGTGACCATATAGACAGCGTTTACATTGTATAGCCAATTACATGTTGTCAGGCCGAACTTCGGGGAAGACCACAGTTAACCAATAAGATACAATAAAACAAACGTATCAAGATTTGCCTCCGTAACATAATCAAAATTCTAATAGCGACTACACTTCAATAATTGTATAGGTAATTGTGATAGCAATAGTAGTATTAGTCAAAAAGTATTCTCAGTTCGCATTCAGCAATGATTCGCATTCATTCGCGATTATTATTACTACTATTATTGTTAGCCATTATATTATCCTATATATCCTATATATTTATATACAGGGCGGGCCAAAAGTAGGCTTACAGCAGGGTATGTCGTAAGTTGACAATTGAGGAAAAATGGGCTTCCAATTATGAAAAAGTAGCTTTTTCGCTTTAATTAGATACTACTTCAATTGCAAGCAGCATACTTTTTTCACTATTAAAAACCTATTTTTTCTTAACTTTAACCTCACGTCGTGCCCAACTTTAAGTCAACCTTTACCCCACTCTGTAAATATACGATTAGTACTATTGTTTCCTTTTCTTCAGCTACCGCACAGGTCATTCTGTTCTCATCTATTTCTGTTCACGCACGGTTGCTACTGCTACAGTCCGTTAATTTCATAAAATTCGTCCGTATGCGAAGGATTCAAGTATTAGTATCGTTATCATCACCACGATTACTTCATTATTGTTGCTGTCGCCATCATTAATAATAATAATAATAATAATAATAATAATAGTAATAATTCTCATTGTCGATAATAATGTCATTGTGTGCGCATAATTGTAAAATTCTAAGCGGCACCCCGTCGTTTGTGTCCGTTTTTGTCGAGTTTTGTTTGTTGTTGCTTGTTGCTTTCTTTTCTGCTGCTAATTTTTTCTATTCTTATTGCCCAGAATTCGATTCCTATTCGTCACAGAGTTTTTTTCCAAACTCCATTTCTGAAGCCGGACTAGCAAGCAGATTACGTTCCAGTAGGCTGTTTTCATCAATAAGAATAACCAAGAAGATAAGGAGTTTTAGTAATAGTATCGAAAATGATTTAACTGTTAGATTTCGATCGACGGGCCCCCTTGGTGATCTTCCAATCGGGCGTTTTTTCCAGGAGAACCTCTAGCCCTCGTCGCGTCAACCACCGCAGTAACTTCTCCCAGAGGGCATATGCATCGGCGTATATATCGCTTGCCTCATGATTATAGCGTTCACAGTTATCGAACATAAGGACAATGTCGAAGATAACATCTCGATTCGACTTGTAGCCCATGTTGTTTAGGGAGTTCTGTATCGTCGACAGGTCCATCGGCTGAGCGATTATTTCAAAGTAATCGGGCGCGTCTTTCTTTGTCACCGGCTTGCGGAACGCAAAAGAGAGGCTATCCTTTAAAAGGTAGTTGAGCAGATCCGTGCACGCCTTATAGTCAAACCCGTGTACGTCAATGGGTTCCTGAAATGCGCCAGGAAAATGGGAAATTGAGCAATACGTTAAGCAAGCATGTGATTAAAACAATTAATCTAATAAATAATATTCCTTCAAAAAGTGATCGTTATTCGAACCACCCGGCGGAGGCTACTTGAGCACTTGAAATATAATAAAAATGGGCCGCGGTTATTTGTAGATTAAATTTAGTTAGACGTTTATAATGTTATCGATCGTGCCAATTGAGCCTACCGGGTTGTCTTCCTCCATTTGCTGCTCATCCTCTTCACAGACTGTCTTTTCGGCAGGTTCCTCTTCATTTTCAACCATTTGTGTACAATTAGAGCATGTCCACTTTGCCGTGCTTCCTTTCACGCCCGCACATTTAGGATGAAAAGTCGACGAACACCCTTTGCAAGTGACCTACATGAGAACCAGCAGAGGATACATTTCTGTTGTCAAAAAAACGAATCAGCGACATACACCGGATTATATTAACGGATTCAGTATGGTTAGGTACATAAAAACTTGAATAAATTCTCTTATAGTCCTCATGAATTTTTAAGCAAATGCTATTCTAAGTTATGCTCTTATTCTAGATTCGTACCGTCTTAGCTCCATCAGCGAATTCTTGTTGACACTTGGGGCATCGATTGTTGATGTAATCATCCAACCATTTAAATTGTTGTGTGTCGAGCAAAGGTGCCATGGAGTAATTATCGAGTAGGTCGACAAAGAGTTCAAGTAGCTGTTTACCTTCTCGATAAACCTCTGCTTCCTCCATATTGTACTGTTCGCAGTTGATGAATACTTGCATAACGTCGGATACAAACTCCGAGTTACGCTGCAAAAACATACAACAATAAGAGTGTAAATTTGATTGACACTAGGCGAGCGCAGTATTCTCAACACATTTTGATGCCGAGAGATCTTAGTGTATACTATCTCTTATAAATAGTACAACAAAAAAATGAAGCTGGCAGAATGCGAGATTCCTTTTTTATTGGATATAGATGTGTGTGTATATATATTCGTTCGAACTGGCGACTGTCTCGTTAACCTACCGTATACTTAGAGTCGTTCAGCTTGGTCTGGACTGTGCCAAAGTCCATGGGTTTCTTAATAATCCTGTGATAGTCGGGTGCATCCTTCTTGGTCACAGGCGTGAGAAATGGCCAGGCGTGATCTGACTTCTTGAGAACATCAAGGATATCGGAGCACGCCTTGTAGTCGTACGCGTCAGCTTCGGCGAATGATTTCTCCGCGTCTACGACTTCTTCCTCCTCCATCGCCTCGACCACTTCCTCTTCCTCAGCAACGCTTTCCTTTTCGTCCATCGATTCGTCATCGAGAAGTAGTATTTGACTCAGTGATTCATTCGGCACATATCCTGGTTCACATTTCTTGCGGCAGTACCAATCACCTTTAGGCCGTTTCGGTAGATCAGCACAAATCAGGTGGAATTTACGAGCGCATCCTTTGCAATCAATATGACCTCGACTTAGTAGTTCACCGCACTTCGCGCACTGATTTAGGTCAAGCTGTACATCAACCTGGTAGGAATACAAAAAAAATAAAGTAAGGAGGTTCAAAAACAAAGGTATATGTTGCATTTATCATATCGTACTATCATATCGTATAATTATCGATAAATTATATTAAATATTTCTTCTCTGGGAATATTTTCGGAAGGCTCAATAAGATGTACCTCAGCTGCTTCTTTGTCCAGTACTCGCTTACGGAGTTCTTTGAGTTCTTGGCGGTATTTTTTCGGCTCAAGGCAACAGGCAATGCAACGCCAGTCTCCTCTCGGTGCACGTTTTATATCGAGACACTCCAGGTGGAAAGACCGTGGACAAAAATCGCACAATAATAACTTCTCGTCTCTTCGGCAAACGTCGCAGTATTCATTATTCTCAATGACCTGTTGAATAAACAATATTATTATAATAAAGAGTGCAGATCGTTTTTAAGAGTTCACTGGGGCAACCTTCTACTTAAATTACTAATAAATAACAAAACTTAGCCGATTACAAAGAAAGCATTGCTGTGTATGACGTGCACCAATAACTTAATGAACTGCTACCATATTATTGCAGACATGATTATCCCCTTATTATAAAATATGTCAAATCCCATGTTCTTATTCGAGCACGAGATTGCGGACATTGTGATATGGGCTGTACTGTGGTTGTAACTTACCGGTTTTTCAGCCGGGGGTGCGGCCTCCGGCTCGGCAGATGCCGCCGTTCCGTTGGTGCGCTGTTTTTTAAGAGGGGACTCAAGCACGGTATCTGGCTCGCAATTCTTGCAAAACCAGGTTTCTTCAGGCACATCACGCAGAGCTGGTTTTAAGCATGATAGATGGAAAATTTGATCGCAACGATCGCAGCGTACCATTCGCTCAGGCTGAAAAATTATAAATTAAGGATTTAGAACTTATATATATAAGTTCTAAATCCTTAATTTATGAACGAAACTTATATATATAAGTTTCGTTCATAAATCCTCCATATATATATATATATAAATCCATATATATATAACTTATATAACACACAGTAAACTACTGTCTTACAAAAAAAAAGAAACATTTTGTAACCAAAATTATATAGATAACTAACATATAATATTGGAAGTATTTAGTGGGTGATCATTGTTATGACTGCGTGCAGTTTTTGCATATCTTTGGCTAAACAATACGTGATATTTTTTTCTACTAAGAACAATATTTCTCAACGGTAATAATTACGCAAAACAAATTGTTTTCAACGGTGTGAGGAAAAATTAAAAAAATAACTTACAGAGAGCACAAATATATTTACACTGAGTGCAGAAAATCAAATTGATTGCTAAAAGTTTCAGTATCATAATAGATAGCTTATTCATTATAAAAACACTCTACTTGAAAACATAAGATATTTAAATTATCATTTACTCACTGTGGGCTTTCCTCGACAAACTTTACATCTCGCTTGAATAAGACCCTTCTGCCATTGAATCGATGCTTCGAGCGCCGAATAGAAGAGGAACAGCTGGGAAAAGTTGGTGCAGTTGGGTAATGCTGCTTTCCAGTTTTCCATTTTAGCAGGTGTATTTTCGTCAACTTGTTCTCCAAGTGGGCCATTCAGAAATCTCGCTGGTACTGTTTCAGCAAACTCCAGCAACCGTTCGGCCATCCTCTTCACTTCGTGCTCATCTACTTTCATAATTTTGTTGGTTTGTTCTGGTGTCAGTTTCTGCATCCGGATCAGTGGCTCATCTAGTTCTGCCCGCCAGGACTGGCGACGACCACTTTCGGCCTTGAATCCACCAAGCGATGCTTGAACGGCCTTATCTTCAATATCCAACAGCAGTTCGCGAAACGTAAGATCCAGAGCCACATTGGCTTCAAGACCCAAAACATTCGAAGATTTCAGAGCTTCAGAGGGATATTTGCGACGATAGGTGTCGCGCATTGTGCGGTTCAATCTGAAATTAACAAACATTTGAGTCATTGTTATCAAGAATCAAGTTGGGGATCTACAATCACACCAGCAGCGCCAGGAATATAAACAAGGAACAAAATGTGAATATAAACACGTTTACATTACTAGACCTCATCATGTACACGGTAGACTAACTGTTTTATACAAGAGAAGTAAATCTTTATTCAGCATATCTATCTACTTTCGAACCTCTATCAACTACCGTACCCTCTTTGTAGATAACTTACTTGGATATGGGTGTTCTTTTAATAACATTTCGGAGGTAGTCCATTTCGTTGGTGATCGTTTCCTTAAGGACGGTCTCGCGTAAGCCTTTCGGAGCGAGAGCATTAACTAGAGCCTCTAATTGTTGGTGATTCTGGATGAAATAATAGCGAGGTTGCTGATCTGCGTGCACTCGACAAGTTTCCATGTTCCCACTGCAGACTAGGGTATCATCGACTGGTACCTCAATCTTCTTCTCTTCGGCATCTGCACCGCCTTCTGTCTTGACAGTGGATTTTTGTGGTGAACCAGAAACAGATTTTGTTGGTGAGGAGGACGCACTACCTTTAATCTCATTGATCTCTGGTTTTGCGTTTACACTCTTCGCAGTCCCGTTCTCCGTTGGATGCGAACCATGGGCCGCAGACGTTGGTCCGTTCTCAACTACAGACTCTTTTGATGAGGGTGCTGGCGTTCCTCCTAAAATAGGATGAAATCAATGCTTCCTATCAGTGAGGTTTTTGTTTCTAACAGCAAAAATACTACTTTCAAAAAAACTGCTGCAGCGTATTTGAAAAAGAGGTATCTGACTGTTTGGAACTTCACATCCTACACCTTTTATTGACCTTCTCAATTGTGAATTTACAGCATTTCAGATTTTTGAGAGGTTGCCAAAGTGCTTAAGTTAGTCTCTCAAAAACTTGTTCATTAGTAACTTTGGACAAGTATCCTATAAGGAATGTCACTGTTACAGGAGCCATTCGTTTCTTTAATATGTTGGCGTATTACCGCGAATCTAAACAATGTACTCACTCTTAATAGTTTATCACACACATTATGACTACTGCGCCACTTACCTTCTATGCAGGGGGCTTCAACACAAGCGAGCGTCTCGACTACGATAGCAGGCACCGAGTGCATCACATTATAGATTCGATGAGCACGATCCTCCCCAAGACACGATAAGCCAAACCGATACCACACTTTGTTGATTTGAGTTTCCGTTGTAGTGATCCTCTGTTCCAGCTCGCGCCGTGGCATCTCCGGGAGATCATCTATAATATAGTACACACAATTACATTCACTTGTATCATAATATTTGTTTGCACATATACAGAATAAAGAAAAACTATCTCTGTCTATGCTTTATCAAGTCATTCGAAACAAAAGAGGGCGTTTCAAAAAGAAAACTTACATCTCCAGTTTTTCCGTTTCTTCTCATCCTCATTTGTTTTTCGCACCTCTTCGGTATTTTTACTGTCTTCTCCCTCTTCGGTGGGGTTATTCCCCCCCTTTTCTTTCTTGATGCCCTTTTCTTCGTCCTCCAACAATTTCTTTCTCCATAAAAGCTTCTTCAGTTGGACTTTGAGTTCGACACAGCGATCGAGGCCATCCTCGATTGTCTCTCGGAATAACTCTAATGTGAGTAGCTGGTCTACAAGACACCGTACAACCTGCAATGAAGTAAACAAGTTTTTGTGACCCTGTTACTACAAGTTTTTACGTGAAGATATTATGTCGCCTAATTTACCAGTTTGGTTGTTACATTCAAATTGTTGCATGAATCAGTAATTAAAGAAAAAAAAAGAGTATTTCCAGTAAAAGCTTGTTGTTTCAGAAGTTTATGTGTAGTAAAAAGGTGTGAAAGATATGAAAATAAGTACACACGTTGATATCTGTAAAAAGTAACTTGGTACAAACCTTGATTTTTTCAAGAACATTGAGACCTGCAATTGAGCCCCGCTCTAACTTCTCCATCACGTCGGGGTTTTCGCAAACAAATTTGAAGCCCGGATCTTCTTTGGGTGTGAATCCTTGATGACAATGTATCCGGTCCCGAAGGTCCACTCCTGGAGCTCCGCTCGCCTGCACATGCAGCAACGTACGCCAATATTAGACCTACTGTATTAAAGTTAAGCAACTCTATTCCGCGTTGTAAATGAATCTTCATTGAAGTTTAAATTTTGGCCTTTGAAACTCTTCTACCTTAAGATGCCATCGAAGCATATCACTGTACGTGAAGGAATCCAGAGGAGCTGTATGGAACATGAACCCAAATGTGTCTCTAAACTCCCTCCCGGCTGCAGCTGCTTTTTCTTGAGCCTGAATGACCGATTTATCGCTCTCATCGTTGTCATGCCTGAAAAAAAGACAAATCCGAACCCGTTGAGCGAACCCCCTAAATCACTCATTACGCACTGGAATTAAATACTTCGTATGAATATGAAGCTATGTTTGGCTATAATTATGTGTGAAAACCGTGCTGCTTTAAAATAGCGTAATACTTGATCAAAATACAGGGATGTGTGTTTGACTTACTTAACATTGTAGTCAATGGTCCAATCCTTATCTTGCAACCGTACGATGCACCCGAGAAGGATCTGAACAACATTGACAAGCAGGCCCATTGGGTCATTTTCTGTAAAGGCCCGTTCAAGGATGTCGAAGGAAACACCTTGTGGAAAGTAGTCTTTCACACCTAACTCCGAGGAATAGGCACTCATAAATTCGAGGATGCACATAAGATCACCCAAACCCTCGGATGGGATCTTGCAGTTGAATTCGGGTAGCGTGGGCAGTGCCTTTAGGTTAGGAATTGAAAGATCATCATGCAAAGCCTATAAACAGAAAATAACCGACGTGAATACGTAATCTCTGCATACAAGTCAAGTGAATAGATTTTACTGTTTAAAATGTGCTCTGTTAAACATTGCTGAAACCCTCCAGAAATGATAAGCCCTACACGACATTAGCTATATAGGCCAGTTGCACGTGGCACGCAGTGTAAACCGTTTCGAATATATTAAGGATCGGTTTATAATGGTATTCACCTCACGGTTGCCTAAATGTTCAATATTAATAGAAATTCACAAACAAAAAAACCTCTTCTTCTGTAAGTCATTTTACAGACATATTTTTACCTTGGCCTGTTCTTTAGCTTCGCGTTCGAGTCGCCGCTTTTCTTTGAGCTTCTCCGCGAGTTTTCGCTTGTATGCCTGTTTGCGGGCCTCTCGTTCCTCTTCGGTCAATATGACCGGCTTCCGTCCTCGCCGTTTAGGAGTAAGACCAGCTCCGGGTTGCAAACCATCGCCAATTCTTGGTGCTTGTGGGCCACTTGGTGGTACCAAATGACTAACTGCGTTGGTCGGAAAAAGCGATGCAAACGGATTCGCTTGAAAGAAGGGATGATTTGCTGCAGGAATAAATTGATGCGGTGGTAAGGGGTTGTGGTTTGATGAAGTAGGATTGCTTGGCACTACGCTAATACTTAGTGCGCTAGCAATCGAAGGGGGTAACGAGATACCAAGGGCAGCGGCAAGTCCATTTTGTTGCAGCTGAAAGAGACTGTTGAGCTGCTCCATAGAAGGACGGGGATATTTGGGTTTTGGTCCCCTTTTCTTCGGTTCTCTCGGTGGCTTTGGCTCTTTCGGTTCTCTTGGCTGCTTTGGTTCCTTTGCTGGCTTTGCTTCTTTTTGTGGTCTAGGAAGTACTTCGACAGCATCAGGTTTCGTCTTGGAGCGTTCAGCAGCAGCCTTGAAAAACTCTTTGAATTTTTCGAGGCTCCGATTTTTAGCTGTCTTAGGCCTGCGCTCCTCATAGAGACTGGAATCAACCTCTTTGTATGACTTCGCAGGCGTACTGCGAGCCGACTTTCGGGGCGAACGCCCCGATGATGCAGGATCCACAATAATCACGTCATCTGAAGTAAGAAAAGCGTTGTTATATTTGAATTTCTATTTAAGGACCGCATCACTCCCAAAAAACAGGTATAAATAGGACTGACGTCTCAATGTATGAGATATGTTTCCGTCAAGTGTTAAGCTGATGGCTTTGATTTTAATATAGAAAACGTTATTACAAAGTCAGTATTTACTCTCTGCAAACAAATTTTTACACGATTCTTTCTCTTTAACACCAAACCAATGAATTATTAATTACCATCGTTGTCATCATCGAGAACTACGACTCCATCATCCATTCGCATTTTTTTGCTGTCAATGAGTTCCGTAACGGCCGGTTCTATATTGTTGTCTAGCGCCGCCCGCTTCTTGAGCTCGTTATTAATGAGTTTTTCTTCGCGTTTCGTCTGGTTGAGTCGAACTGCCGTATTGTTTGCGGCACTCTTTCGTTGTGGTTTGACAGCCTTGATGACGGGTGGATCCTGCACTTCGCGGGCCTTCACTGTCGGCGGTGGTTCGTAGTCGTCTTCGCCGTCATTGCTATCATTGACTAAGCTAATTGTCACCTTGTCTGTGCCATTGGTAATGATCGCGCATTCGGAACCCCCGCCGTTCATGTGCTTCACCGGTGGCTCGTTGACGTTAGTCCCGTTGTCTCGATTGTACGCCACGGTTGGTGTCGTTGATAGCCCGTTGTTCGTACGGTCAGAACAGGGTGACTTACTGCTGCAAAGCGGCTGAACTGGTAAATTTTCCTCGTCAGAATCCTTTCGAGCCGATGATGATGTGGGAGATTTCCTATAGATCGTGTTTATCGGCGCGGAAAGTCAAAAAAAGAGTAGAATATGAAGGCCCAGGTTCATTATTACTTCTGTACACTTTAAGCTTCAGGTTTGCATGCACTTAAAAATATAGAATAATAGGTCACAAGGCTACTTAACTAGTGAAAGAGACTGAGGCAGCAAAAAATTAATATTCGGCTTACGTTGAACCTACGACGTGGCCTAAATGTGGCTTGAAATGGGTCTAAAAATATACTAATCTAGTACTCCATTCGTTATTTTGAATTTTTTGGAGTTGGAAGCACAACCCACACTGAAAAATATATTTTTGTGATCAAGCTCTTGTTTACTAACTTTATATTCTCTAGAACGGCTCTTTTTTATAATGTCTCTAAAGCCGGTAGATTCATGCCGGCTATGGAGTCATTATACGAAAAACCGAGAGTTATCTAGAAAAAAAAATATAATTATTTCTCATCAATTATCCTTTCTCATAGAGCTAAAAATAGATTGATGTAAGTAACTCATTAAAACTGTATTGACAAAACGTACACGTAAGCTAAAAAATGGTAACTATTTTGATAAATACTATTTTTGTTTACGATTTAATTTTTTGAAAACTCCCGAGCATGAATTATTTTGGTGCCATATTTGCTTTAGCATAACAAATGATACCGACATCACCTCAGAAATATAAGCATTTTTTTTATTACTGCTAGTCTCGGGTAATCGTATTACCGTTTCAATGCATCGAAAGTTATAACTTGGTTTTGATATCCTGAAGTCATTTTTTTGCTGTACGGTCGTTGATTACCTTTGATTTGGTTTTTAGAAGTGGGTTATTACAGATATAGCTAACTTGAAGCGAAGCTCGCTTCCAATCGTTATCGATTTATCGATCATGCGTATGCATAGCTGGTATTTCCCTTTTTAGGATAACGGTTTCCCACCTTAACAAACTCTGACACATGCCGATAGACAACACAGAGTTAATTTAGTCTGACACCCACTAAAATTTGAAGGGCAACAAACCGGAGATTACTGTGCTCACCATTAAAGTAGTCACATTCCAACCGCATCGATAATTATTATATCATATATTATCAAACATTGAAAAAGTCTCCCCTTTAGAATTAACTCTGCTGTGCACATGTATATAATCACTATGCAGCTAATAGAATCCCACTTCAACCAAACTTCGATCGTACCTAAATCCTTCATCGTCAACTGCTGCACAACGCAGAGTCAAAGTTTCAGTCGTTGTTAGTATGGCCACAACCAGCGACTCAAAGGCAGAGCGCACGCCAGTTGGGGGATAATATGTTCAACAGACATAACCAGATTTTTTTGTGTGTGTATATGCTTTTCTCTGTAACGATTGTCTGTCTGTTTGGCGATGTGTGCCGGTCTGTATGTCTGACTCAGAGCAAAACAAGAACGCTGAAGCATCGAAATGCCAGCTGGCTCCGCCTGCTATCAAAGAGTCCCTAGCGCAAAAGCGATGACTGACTACCAGCACAGTGCTTGTGGTAAAGTCCTGATGCACCATAAACGCAGCCGTTACCGCCCTCGCTGCCGCTGGCAACAAGTCGGCGGGTTTAAAAGGACGCCAGCATTTGCCAACCATTAAAAGTAGATAGATTGAAAGGAAGGGCGAGGAGCCGCTATAGGCGCACCTTCACACATACACTCTGACATAGAGTCTACAGAGACCGGCAAAGACAAACCCATCGCATACTACAGACAATAAATAGCATTGCGAAGTTCAGCAAGAGAAGAAACTGCCAAGAGTTGTTGTAGGAAAGCTGTGCACGGAGATTCGGGAATAATCCATCCACTTTGAACTAACCTATGGAAGAGGCGGGAAAGGGGATAGAATTGAGTACCAGTCACGACTCCCAGTACCGACCATGCACAGACACTGTAGATATTTTTAGTAGAAGAAGAAAGACAATGCTTTTATTATAAAAAGCGTTTTTTAGCTCAAACGCGAAATAACTAAGCGAAACGGCGTGTCTGTATATATTTAAGCCTGGTTACATGTCAATAAAAAACGACTGCTATGTAAACTGGGACTAAGTCCCAGTTTACATGGTGACTAGACCAAATAGTGACTTTGGGAAGCACAAACAGGCTCAGATGAGTCCATGGAATACATCTATCTAGCAATTCTCTAAATGCTAAATAACGTCAACAGACATGCGTCCTGTTACACACTAGATGATTGCTTCGTCCATATAAAGGCAACCAGCTATTACTTTATAATGCGGTCTAAATGTTCTAACACCGGTTAGGTATACCCCCTCATCTTGTTTTGCAAATATATAAGATTATTGCAAATAGCTAACGAGAGTCGTCTAGAAGATATTGAAATGAATGTGTGAAGAACTAGGTAAAACGATCGGGCAACCCGAACATATTAACACTCTTCGTTACCAACGAACCATTCCGGTGTCTTTTGGCAGTTTCGACCGCCGATATGTGCACCATATGTGAATTCAGTCAGACAATTATGATCCGTAAAATACATATCGTTTATTGAACCGAACGTTAACCATCAATTGGTTATTTCCTTGCTGCGTGCCATTTACACAAATCAGACTGAAAGTCACACACAGTAGGACAAGCCGAGTTGCGTCTCCTTGTGTTGTGCGAAACCACAGTACAACGCGCGAGTATCCGCGATGCCTCAATCACATTGGGGGATGCTCTTGTTTCTCTATATGTTTGTGTGAACATTGCCCTATTCTTGTCTGACCCAGCACACGATTTTCCCATTTATATCAAATGCTTTACATCATGGCATTTGATATTTAGCATGATTTTATCATGCTTCTATTCTTTTTCTTCATCACAGCCTATACAGCCACACATACACATACTAAAGTGTTATTTTAACTCCGCAATTACGCACTTTCCTGAGAGAAAGCTCAGCGTTGCTAGCATAAACAACTTATGAACCAAACCTCAGCGAACGAAGATGGGAATTCAATGGATCAATGGCTGCTCGAATGAATCAACGAGCGTCATTTTCCTCCGTAATCAGGATTTCCCGATAAGTATAGAGGGTACACGAATCCGTGAGAATTCACAGCTACAGCAAGAGACACCGATAAAAATAAACAAACCAACTAATAAACACACTTATACACAAAGCACTTCTGCTATTACTAGTAGCAGTAGTTGAAGTAATAATCAGAGTTTTTTGCGAGTGTTGTCATGTGGACGACAACCACCTCTTGATCAACTATAAACACTACGTCATTTTTCTACTAATGCTATCATTTCTAGTATGCGCTCCATGAATCGTACTGTGCTCCTGTTTCCGTCGTTTTGGTAGTATAATAAGGGTAGTGTAACAATACACTGACGACGCTCCGAAAACGCTACTGTTTCGCTGGTTGCCGCCACTCAGTTGATCTTAGCAGTGGTGGCTAGCGACGTCTGCGTTAGCGCGATGCTTAGAGCAGTCGTGGCTAAAGCGCGTTGCCCACGGCAGCAGCACAAGCATCAATGATGACGGCGGCCACAGCAGCAGCAACAAAAATAGCAAAAGCAAAATCGGCTCTTCGTTTGCGGCTGCTCGTGCTACTGCTGCAACTGCCGCAAACACAACAACAGCTCTTCACCGTTGCGTCCATACAGACACATTAAGCAAGCGTCAACAGCGTCGTCGGCGTTGTCGTACCCTCGACGGTGCGGCGTTTCTCTATTCCATTTGCTCTACCAGCTGCTGGCTTGTCGCCTGCTGCGCCGTTGTTTTCTCCTTTAGCGAAACAAAGGAGACAACAACATTAACAATAACAAAGATAACAGCATCAAGAATTGTGTGTTTGGTCTTCTCTCTTTCGTTCACTCGCTGCATTCATACAAACAAAGGCGCAGTACAGACATATACGCATAACGATACACATAGAAACGACCGAACAGACATCCACGGACGCAGCAAACACATGACGGCCAAGCGTACTTACATACTCTCGTTTGCCCACGAACACACACACACACACACAAACACACATACGCACACATACATACACAGGCACTTGCACACACAAACACACGCAGCCACAAGAATACCGAGACAGACAAGTCTTATATATGGCTAGAGATAGATACACAGAATACGCTCAACGCTCACTATTGCTGCCCTGAATGGTAAAGCTGCCCAGAAAAGTAGTAAGACCATCAGCTATTATAAATAGAAGATCAATATGAACGCCTACCGACCTTCCCAGAGCACACCTTACTAATGGTAGCAATCATATGGACTAACTACAATACAGAACAAGTTAATACAGCATAAGTTCTATATTTTGCGAGGATATAACGACGACAATGAACGGCAAAAACAACGAATTCAGCAGCAGCAGCAGCAGCAGCAGCAGCAGCAACAACAACAACAACAACAACAACAACAACAACAACAAGCAGCGACAACGAATTTAGCTCGTACTGCCCCCACCCCACCCCCCTTTGCTCTTACAATTGCAGACTTCACTCAACTCAAGCACATGAGGTATGATGACACGCTATATCTAACTCGCATATACACGAGCACAGGAATACACAATACACAGGAGAGGACTTACTGAAGGTGAATGTCGTGGTGGCGATAATATGCCGCAATCAGAAAACCCACGGTGCCTTATTTGATATACTGTTGGCTCAGAACGGCTAATACTGCTAAACGTTTACCGATCTAATAAAAACAGACGCATTCAAATCGTTTACGCATAATAATAATAATAGCAGCAATAGCAATAACAAACGAACTGCAGTGATCTGTTCTTGCTGCTTCTGCTCAGGCATAAGCCGTATAGACACGGACCTATGTACGAGAACTGCGTGTGTGAGGCGTTCGACGTCAACCGCTCGATGCTCATACATTTACAAATGGCGATTACACAACAGTTCATGCACGATGTATATACGCGATTATGCAACGATAGCTATAGGCAACCGCGACGCTTGTCGTGAGCTTATTTGAACTATAAATGTTGTTGTTGTTGTCGTTTCTTCCTGATGTTTCCACTGTTTTTAGAACTACTGTTGTAACAGCTGTCGTCGGCGTTGCGATTTTTTTAGGCCTTCTGTTTTCACTTTTGTTACCGTTATAGTTGTCATTGTTAATGAGCGAGCTTTACTTTAACATATAGAAGGATCGACACCGGATCAGACTCCTAACTCTGTGTCCTGGGCAGTCGCTGACGAAGAGACAATCCGTACTTTTAAATTCCCTAATTTTTTTAAAGCTTTAACGACTGGAGTATCCCTATCCGATTGGTTGGGTGTCATTACAACTCATATAAAGCACGAGTACGTCACAACTTACTGGCTAAACCCAACAAAATTTTAATGAGCTGAGTGTTATGCTCGCGATATTCTTCCCCGTCAAACACTTTGAAGTTTCTGCTGGCACCACGTATCACCTCAGCAGTCCTTAAAATGTTTGCGTACGTTATTAGACCTAAGCGTTTTATAATGTAAGACAGACAGGGTCCACGATGCGCCAAAACACCGTGATGCCTCCACCGTCGACTGTCCCAACGCGTGCAGTAGTGCAGCCGTCGCAGAAATAGCCGCCCGGGTGTCGTTCGGCAGTTTGCCAGTGATCGGCAGCTGCCGTACTGGAACTAGTCGCTGTCTCGGGCAGTAACGTGCGTCCTCTTCGGTCGCCGCGAGCGTTGCCGCCGCTACTCCATCCGACGAATAGATGAGTAACTGCTTCTTGACTCTTCCCCACGCTGTTCTAGTCTGCTGCAGCTGCTGTTGCTGCCACAGCGATTGATGCTATAGACAGAGACAGTAGCGACAACAGTCTGCAAACGACAGCTATAGCGCTGACGGCGGAACTAACGAAACGATGGTAACAGTAGTAGTCGGCACATCACGGCTGTGAAGCAGCCGACTGAGAGTTTACTGCACCCCACCAAAGCCTCAGAAGTAAGTATATAGTAACGAATGAACGAATGACCGAAAAAAATGAACCTTCACGCACTCAAACATACACACAGGCAACAGCTAGAACTGATCGAAGATGTGTCCACACTTCTGTGCCTTCAAAACAGACTATAATCAAGGAAGATCAAACGAAAACTAACCCTTACTAGAAACTTCGGTCGAACAACTGCTTCCACCGAAATCTCTAGTACTAGTGAATAGTCTGCTGCAATCGTCGCTGGCAAAGCAGCACCTAAAGTACAGTCACTACAACATTGTACGATAGCTTGATAATCGGTTTAGATACGATATATACAGGCAACGCGCACCCTATTGCGATACGATTAGTCGCTAGTTTGAGGTGACGCTCACAGAGGGACTCGCTTGCTCGTTCGCTCATTCACTCACAACGACATCGTCGGAGACACACTGCGGCGGCTAGAAACGACGCACGCGTTCATTCATAACGACTGCTCTGGCCGCTTACGGCCTCATATATATCTATACGACGAAACAGAAAATGGCGTGTGTATATCTCGATGTCTGGCTTTCTATGTGTATGGGTGTACGCATGTACAAACAGAACCTCCCCGCCGAATCGTTGACCCGGCGAGCAAACGAAGGAACTAAACACCAGAGTACGCTATAGCACAAACGTCCTGCGCTGCCTATTCAATTAGGGTAAAATCACGAATGTAGAGAGATAGCACACTGCAGCTGTCTAACTTTAGATGCAGGGATACACACATCTCTATATACGGTTGATTATTTGCTAACAGATTAATGTACACGTTTAACAAACGCAGGAGATTTACGAAAAGCAATCTTTTTTTTGCTTGATTTACTACCCCTACTAGGGAATATCTGCAGCACAACAACAAGGCGCTGCGAAGACGACAGAAACTGCTGCGCAAAGAGATGAACGGTGACAAATGATGCGTTAGGGGAGACAGAGACAATACAGTATTATTAGTGGGAGAGATCGAAAGTTTCGATCGATGCGGGATGAGTAAACGCTTCGCTCAGGTTCGCTCGGGAAAAGTTACACTTAGTTCTTCCACTCAGTTACTGATCACACGAAAACCTATTCCACATGCACCAATACTATAACTATCACTAGTCGACCGCACAGATTAAATCTAGCGAACAGCCTATCCAACGAAGCGACGGCCTCGTTGTCAATAATGGCGTTAGCCATTGCTATCCTACGGCAAAACCCATTGACTTAACATGTATGTATGTACCAAAGGCGAAGCGCGGTAGAGCAGAAGCGTATCAAAATGCCGCCGCAACACGACTGTTGTCTAGACTACGCTGGGACCAGTTACCGACTAGCAACAGTCAGGAGCAGTAGCAGCAGCATCCGAGTTTTAGCTGCTGGACCAGGTTGCTGTTCGTAAAACCACGAAACAATGAACAGCAGCAGCCCAAGTAGCAACGAGAGCCCGACGAACGACCCACTCACAAGTCACCAGACCACTGCCTCACTATTGCATAGGTTCAGTGTGCAATTACGAGATGGATAGGGACTAAAGGCAGGCCGTCTGGCCGTTTACTGGTTGGCTACTTGTACGTTTCACTGCTGTTGCTGCTGCTGCTCGCTATTGAGAGTTGACGGCAGCGGAGCTAGCGCCACTCCGCGAGTAAAGAGAACGCCGGGCCAGGACAGAGAAACGAAGCTGAGAGGTGGTGGGCCAGCGAGCAGAGCGGGCTAAACTGCCTCATCTTCGATCATCGCCAAAACTCCGGCCATTGCTACCGCTCACAGCAGTAGAGGGAGAAGGTAAATCGTCGTATTGTCACGAGCTTCGGCCGGGCAATGGCAGCTGGTGATGGTGATGATCATAATGATGAATGCAGAGTTTATTAATTGCAATCTGTATCTGTTTTAAATAGCGACAGAACAGAACTACGAAGGTTCTAATGGAGTTTGAGTCACCGATCTGGTTATGTCTTAATAGCTACTATTATTGTAGCTCGTTAGAATAGATCAGTTTCTAAGACTTCTGATACCGAAATTCTGGGAGAAACAGATGCGTAAAGGAGCTGTGCTCTATTTTTTTCTGATCAAAGTACGTGGATAGTTCTTTGCAGATGTCATTAGAAATTGAAATTAAAAAAATTAAAAAGTACCGTTTTTTCCTTTTTGGGTTCTTTCTTAATCATCGTGGGCCTACGGCGATCAATTGTCATTGAAGGGCTCTTATAGCTTTCCAATACGGGATATTATCCAGATTGAACTTCAATTGAGCATGCATATTTTGGACAGACACAGGTTACGACGATGGAGGTCGTAATAACGGTTTAGTAACGGTTTCAATGCGCGCGCTTTCGTCTATGTCATCTGCATAAATTAAAAAGCAATGAATAAGGAATGATATATATATCAACCCTGAAAAATACAGACACCGATAGCCCTGGTATCCATAGATAAATGTGTAACCAACGTTTGCGCTGTTAATCCAATTTTACTTACCAAAAGTCTGTAATTTTGGCACATCCTTTCACTGCCGAACTGGACGATAGCCCGTTCGATCTTCGTTTTGGGGTGGTTGTTGCCTTGGGATTAGCACCAGCTGTAGTAATTCCACTACTTGCACTTTCGGAAACAATTGTGCTAGAAGAAATCAGCTCCAGACCGAGACACTCGTCCTCCATGATAATATATATATAATATATGTCTGTTGCAATTTGTTTCGAGTTGAATCGACAATCAACTCTTTCGCCGAGTTGCCCGAGGACACGCAAACATTCGCCCCCCAAAATCTTCCTGTCTAGTGTCGCGCTCAGTTGTTCCGCGATAAGCACGAACCACAAACAGGAGCTTTCACAAGCACAATACACTGCTGTGCGTCTGTAACACAAAAACGATATACACCAGAATTGAACTTAACTGTCAAACGACTATGCACGCTTTCAACTATTGCGAACGGCGCAGCAGCCGCAGTCAGCCGGTCAATATAGTTCATCTATAATACATAATCTAGAACACGTAAACATTCGTCGTCTGGAACAATTTTGTTGGATTTCGTCGTCATTTATTTGAGAGGTTACAGACCACACCAAAGCAACACAAATGTTGCCGCACTATTAAAGCAATAAAGAATATACAAACATACAGTTACATACAGGTCAACGCGCATTCGTTTCTTGAGCCGATTTACCGTTCATAAAGTTCGCTGCTCCCACTTTAGCGCGCCAGTCTCAAGTACGCTATAACGACGACTAACAGAGATTTCCGCACTGCCATGGACAATCAGAAATGAGGCGATTGGCTTTTTCAGTTGTAGAATTTTGCAGATTCCGGCCGAGCTTTTGTTGCAGAGTTGCGTCTGAGAACACTGACTCACACACACATACACACGCGAGTAGAAGCCAAACTTTAGAAGTCTACAAATTAAACGTGAAGAGTAACAGCAGCAACTGTAGCGAAAAGTGGTGTTATTTGCGACCACTTATGTTGTATTAACGGGGTACCACCGTACATTAAGTTGTAAACGTAGCCTAAAACACTGCATCTATTGATCCATTTCACCGGCGTTTTATGATATACGTGGTAATATCGTTGAAATGAATGGGTTTTGGTAGCGTTTTTTCACTGTACGGCCAGGCAGCTGCTAAGGTTTGTGATGTGCCTGTGTGTGTATGTGTTTATATCCATATTTCAGGACAGTCTGATGATGGTCGAAGAGGCTGCACGCGGCGCTGGCGACCAAATTCTGGCGCCAAAACAGCCGGTTGACTTTCCCAGCGCGCACCAATTTTCGGCTGCTTTTGTTGACCAACGAATAACATCTTTCTCTCATACACCAGGGATCACAAACGGAACTGGGCGAAAATACGAACGTCTTGTTAACGTAAAACTGCAAAACACTAGATATCCTTATGAATCTCATGTGGCGTGTCATGAATTACTAGCGACGATTTGTTTTTTAAAATGGATGCATAATGCAAGTATTTCGCACAGCAAAGGGTTATGACATACCAGGCGAATCGTAGCTCGGTGGTTGCACAATGATCGCTCAAGATGGCGTCGCCCATGAACTCACCGACACTTCTTCTAAAGGTTAATCACCCTTGCTTCGATCCGCTTTGAGTATGTGTTGTAGTGATAATCTGCGTTGCTTTCAAATCTAGCATTTCGTTGATCTTTAAATCTATTTTTTTTTTTTACTTCACTATAATTAGTGTCTCACTTATGTGCTACTCAAAACAATTTTGCTATTTGTCCTTATCGCGCTTTTTTACGAAAATTTAAAGAGTACATATTAATCGTCTAAAACCTTTCTTTATAAACAAAACTGGGATGTTCTTCTATGCACTGATTTATCTAGTGCTCAGTCGCACTGATCACCCGGACTACTCATATTCAAGCTTGATTAACCGAGTGATCACATTGCTATATTGATGAACTTCAGTCAGTCTTGTATTTACCATAACTTTATGAACACCACGTATCCTCTTTAAATATCATTAAGGGACGGATACTACAATATAAAAAGGCAACTTTTTCGCAGTTTTTGTACACCAGAATACTTGTGCTTCTTTAATAAGACTGACCTCCCGAAAGTGTTTATAAAGAGCTTCTGCATTAGTAATAGCGAAATACCGGGACTGACATGCATGTCTCTCTCTCTGGCATGTTGTGCATGCTTTGACATGAACTGCTCAATTGCCATATATTGTTTGTACTTTAGCGTGCGTACAAAGCGCACGAATATCTTTGTCTAGAAGAAGACTGCGTGAGCTTACAAGGCGCATCAACATCTCTGTAGTGTCTACTACAGCTTGTCGCAGACATTAGTTTGACGTATATACGTTTTCCAGTCAGGCAAGCCTATTTGTCAACAATCATGTATATATATATACATATATACACTCGTTTTCTATAGAGAAAGATCGACGGAATGGCCGCTTTAGGTTTAGCATTAAGGTTTCCTGGAATAACTGAAACAAGCGTTTTTTACGGACATGAAAATCATCTCTCAAAGAACTTCAGATAGCCGTTTATGCTACATGAAGCTATGTAACTAGTCTGATAGTGAACAAAGTTTGATAAGTATTTTCTTGATTTACTCTGATTAGGTAGTATGTGCCTACACAAAATATAAGTGCGTTTTGTGCACCTGAATATACCGTAATGAGCGGAACTGGGCTTGCGTGTTACGTTAGTTTATAAATTATAAAGTGATCAAACACAAGAGATATATGGAAGAGGGTTCCATTCAAAAGTTAATTCAATTTTTTTGCTTGTATGTCTCATTGCGAGGATTCTTTTTAATGACGAAGTTTAACTACCCGTTCTATTTCTGCTGTAAAGTCATTTTAGTACTATAGTTGCTAGAATCGACCATCTTCTAAGCTGACAGTTCAGTGGCCATTACAAGATCGAATCGTATAAAGAAGTTATATATTTACAGCTTCAATACATATGTTGTTTACACTAGCTAATACGTCCTGTATCAAAGCCTGCCGAGTGTCTCGCCCAAGAAAAAAGTGAAACAAGGACAAATCAGCTTTTATTTATGTGACGTACGTACTTACCAAACTTGATTAGACAACATCTAGTTCGATGTTTCTGTATTGCTTTTGACAAAAATTACTAGAGTGGTAGAGTCGATCTTGTGGATACGATTAAAGAAAGACAAAGATACTGCAAGCAAACGAGGCAAAATGTATAAATTGTTTTGGTAAATCAGAAGAAAACGAGACGTCTATTTGTTTCTGTATCGGCTAAGGTTCGAAACAACAATAATCGTAGTAATTAGCAATGATAACACGGATATCACGAATCGTAAAATATAATCGTTGTTGGCACGTCACCCTACTACGACTATGAATCAACACTGTTACGTTACAACAAATGAAAGTTTTATTCGTTAGTAATTTCGTCGTAGAAGGAAGACATTTTTTATCACAAGGCAGCTGTGGTAACATGCTGATGATTAGACCGACCTTAGTTAAAAAAAATATTTTTACTAATTGTTCTCGACAGCGAGCCGCCTGCGCTAAAATAGGGTAAATAGAGATTCATTCATCCGTTGCAAACGAAAAAGAGAGAGCGAAAATAAAATTAATGACTACAAATCTTTTCTATATGTATTTTTTTACCAAACAATGAAACCATCTGGATTTATGATTGCAAAATGCAGGACTCAGTACGGGTTTCGAACAGGAATAATTTTGCACGTGCAAAATTCTGGCAAAAACTGGCCTTCCAAACTACTCGAAGATGTGTGACATTAAAATATTCGACCATGTACGCTCAGTCAGCGCGATGGAGTAGCTAGGTGTGAAAAATTGAAATTATTTGATCCTGAATATCAGAACTTGGAGAATTTTAGCCACGGCGATAAGTATGTCATAATGTGTTGGCGTACCTCCAAAAAAAATGGATGAATCGCGCCAAAATAGTATATTGTAATTTATTTTAACATAATGTAATTAAAATGTTATACCGATTTTTTGGAAACGTGCAACTATAAGTAACAGATTTTCATTAATTCTGTAGCATTACCCATATATGTGTGCTTCCCTCTTAAATGACTGACACCGTCAACGCTTGGTCTCCCTGTTCGTTAGGATGATAACCATTAGAACTACGTGAAGTTTAATTTTCTTTTTATATGTGTTCACTTTAGGCAGTGAAATTGTAGCAGTACCTCAAGTTAACGCTGCCGGCGTTGGTGTGACTCACATGGCGTCTCGGACGCGGTTGCTTCCACAGTCGAATACGCCCACGGGTATTTGCGGCGGGAACCCATCATTTAAAGATTCAACGGCCTCATTTCCCTGCCCACACTGTCCTACCCGCGTGTATCGCAGCCAAGCGGCGCTTAACGTGCATCGAAGGACCATCCATGGTGTCTCCGACAATTCCACTCAATCTGTACCATGTCAGGCAAGTGAAATTTGAGCCATATTTACTCATGTATAACATTTGAGATTTTTAAACGTGGCCTTAGTAATAATAATGAAACTTGACATTTCGGTGTACGTACTTATGACTTTTGCAGGAGCCGTCTTGTTCAAAGACAATGCAAACTATCTCAGAATTGCGGTCTCACCTAACGAAGGATCACGGTTTGCAATTGAAAAAAGTTGATTCGGAGTTCCCCAATATGAAAGCATTCGCTCGTTGGAAAGAACAGGTTGGTTGAAACGGTTTTTCAATCGACACATGGTTTTTTAGCTGCATTTAATACACTTATTTTCTTTTTTATACGACGTAGTGCTCTGCATTTCAAGATCTAATTTAGTAATTATTTTACGATTCCATATAATTTGCAAGTAAATTTAGCTTGATTTCCTTTACATATTTCAAATTAAGAGTTGAATAAACGGCTGTACATTGTTTATTAAATACATTTGGAAATTGTACTTAATGTGCGTTTATGTTGAATACACGATTTGGTGGATGTTACATGCGTTCCGTAATTTTCACCTTAAAGCAGTATAGCGATTACGTACGGAGAGACACCATGTACTGACGTTTATGTTATACCTCCTTTGTCTGCAGGTTGAGCAATGTGAATGTGTGTGTTTTATCGCGAAAAGGTCGAAAAACTTGCCGACAGAACGGCAGCACTATTATTACTGCCAGCGAAGTTGGGCATGCAGAAATAGCGCAAACGTCAAAAACGGCCGTTTGACACCAATGGCGCCGAAATCCGAGGAAACTGATTGTTTTCAGGACGAGCCGCCCGCAAAGCGGAAGAACAGTGGCGTGAGCGTCACGGACATAGCTAACTTAAATAAGGGCAACCCGGCTAGCGCAATCCGTCAGCTGTTGTGTGATAAACCCAGGAGCTACGTGCATTGTACAGCTCATTTAACTGTGAGGGAGGACCTTCGGACGGGCCGGATATCGGTGACAGGATGCCTCACACACTACGCACACTCGATGACTAGTCGACACTTTGTCGAAGCTATGTGCCGAAGGTAATGAATGCATGGACACAGTACCGAATGCTATGTTCCAACGACATGATCAATTAAAAATAGTTTTTGAGAAAAAAACAGCTGGCGGGCGTACGTACTTTCTTATTTTCAGCGGTACATCTACTTTGCAAAGCATAGCTCCTGTACATATGCTTTTCGTCTCTAGCTTTGCATACAGCAGGATTATTCGAAGCTGAGGCAAATTGTTTTTAGTTGGCAAAATTCGTTGGCTTTGAAAAACATTTCAGCCAAGTGAACATCTGTCGTTAGCTGTGGTATCAAGGAGCCAATTATTTCCGGTAATTTAACGAGTAATTTAGAGTTCAAATTTAAGAAACCAAACACAAATTATTTATACGAAAACAAAGTTGAACAATTTTTCTCACTTTAATAAACTGGCCGCGGTGTATAATTGTTTTAGATCAAGGGTAGGACGTTTAAAGGAGGGAGGTGTTGCAGGTTCGGAGCCGGTGGATATCTCATCTGTCGAAGACCGTCTACTAGCGATCTATGAGTTAGCCGCCACAAAAAAAAAGCAAAAGTCTGTTGATAAGATACGAGCCGCTTTGCAGGATCTTTTCGACTGCCTCAAGGGTAAGCGGAGGAAAAAACTAGTTCGATTGAATCACCCCCCTATAAGAAGTAGCCTAGACATGTACTCTACAAAATATCCATAATTCTAGTAGTTTTGTAAAACTCTTTAAACCCATTGTTACCTCTCAATCGCATCCCACAAGTTCGATAGCTTAAGTGTTATCACGCTTCATATCCGCAATGTGTTCCAAATGGTCTTGCTTATAAGTGTCCTTTAGTGTATGCGTCGGCGTTAATGAAGTTCAGTTACTGCAAAAATAAGTGATGTGCTGAACACAAAAAAAGATGAATACAAATTTACATCTATTGCCCATACTAGACAGTTAACTAGATTCAAGCACTGAGTTTCCGATCCCAGATGATGGCTTTAAATAGTTGAAATACTCTGGTAGGCTGGATATGTTATGTAATATATTTTTAAGTTAGGTTGCCAGTAACGGCGAACGTTGCAGAAGTTTAAATCGCGCTGATTTCTATTTTCTTCAATGAACTGTTTTTTCAGATTATGATGAAGATGATGAGACGCTTCCCGGCCTCGAGGAAACGCGCGCATGGCGACAAAGTGCCGCACAGGAGGAAGCCGAGCGAAAAAGGACAAACGGATGCCAAAACAGTACTACTGGAAACTGTACGGCTTCCTCCTCGGCAGGTGCAGGCAGCACTGACACAACTAATTCAAGCAATCATATCAGGCTTGCTTCAGTTTCGACGCAACGTTCTTCGGATACTTCTCAGATGAATTCCGCGCCATCATCGGTATCGCAGACCTCGGTTGCCACCAGGGTTGCAAATAATCCACCTTTGCCGTCGATTTCGTTGGGACAAACTACGGAATCAACAGAACGTGTTACCAATGTGGCATCGAGAGACCGAGGGTCATCTACAGAAACAAATGACACACATTTGTGGGGATTTCAAAGAGAGAGTGTTGTTGTCACGACGATCGCGCATGGGTAATGCTCTGAATGGGAGATAGAAAAGGAAAATTCAATGACACAATCCATAATCTATGATTGCGCAACCCTGAGTAGGTTTCGTGAAATCGATGGTCTCGACAAATTAAATGTTTATAGCTTTAGTTAAATGAAACTGTGTTTTACAATAAAATGTTGGCCTCATTAAAAATTGTATTTCATTGTTATAGGATCGATGCGCCTTACTTGTTGAATATATTACGGCTATTTGCTTATTGGAAATGAGTATATGAGAAAAACAGTATAAACGCGTGTCAACAGTATTATATTTATCTAAACAAATAAAGCATGTTGTTGTAACACTTCTTACTTTGACCGAAGTAAAATGTCTGTATGTTTGATACACATGTTTAAATGCTACAAAAACCGATGCAGTGACTATCTTCGGTGATAAGATGTACATAATTTATATGAATAAATCTTTGTAGTTTTGTATTAAAAATTTGTTGTATAAAGATAATTATCCAGAAATATGGCTGTAGTGTGAAGTATCGGAGCGACTTATATCAACGCAAAGCGTAACCATGTGTAGTTAGGACAAACGTGGTTACGCTTTACTATTGCATACGAACTAAACCGCTCGCGGTTGTATGGGCTCTGAAAGTTTTCAGCTTCATGCCAGAGAAAGACGTGAATCTCATTGAAACTGTACCGCTGAGCTTGAACTTATCTATAGCTATTTGTTTTTGGTGAAGCTAAAAATTTTAATTTGTGTAAGTCACGTGTTGAATAAATTTTTTGAGATTAAGATATATCTCGTCTGTGTATCTATATTGTAAAGTGCTGTAGGTCCAATCGTGCTATTGTTCCGTGTCGCTTAACTTGCAAGATGAAGGAACTTGTGTGGTGTACTTGCAACGACGTAAAACGTGTTCAATAGTGCAGTTGAGCAGTGCAACTTTTAAGACAATAGTATACCAGCGTCGCTAATACAAGATCACACAAAAGCAATTATCATCTGCAGTTAATAAATGATCGGCTCTGGTATAGGATGATTGTAGAGCGCTTCTTATTAGAGAGAAAGCTTTAGTTGTTAAGAAACGATCTCTAGACAACCAGTTAGGAACGTCGACCAACGGAGCTGTCTAAAAAGTGACGCAGTCTCCTGATAATAGTAAACAAATAAGTGACAAACTCGTGTACAAAGACAGTTTCAAAGCACATATCGTGCTATAGAGGGCACGTGATAGCAAAAACAACTTCTAGAACCAATCCTTTTTAAATATTATAATCTTAATGAAAGGAGACTCCAAGTGGATCCCAGAAGTTCGCAATGTGCAGTTCAAAAGTTCAAACCGCTTCCCCCCCCTATTCTATTTAGTTTCGTTGCTTACCTCTACGCTCATTACAAGAAGCGAATGAGGAAAAAGGCAACCAATTGGACTTACTAGATGCACTAAAATATTTAGCATCTTTCTTTTTATCTTCAGTTGTTTGTAATCGTATAAACCCTAGCGACATAAGAGGTTTTTCTAACCCAGTACGCTAAGTAAGAAATGTACCCTAAAAAATTCTGAAAGTGAGAATGGTAGCTTGCGTGCCTCATATTATTTGCATAAACACGTACTGACACTAGCAAAAAAAAATATTATCTATCTTGTTTAAGGTTTTGTCCTGTTCATGGACGCGATTAATTGAGGGCAACTTGGTACGCACAAACATATTAGTTAAAACTAAATTAAGTTCAGGAAACGATGCATTAATCTATGAGCACCAAGCTCTGTCCATGCAAAAATATGTACTATACCACAATATAGTTATACATTTTTTGCATCATGATTAACTATTTTAGCCACCACTGTTGTGAGAAACGACGTCTAACGATTGGCGACGCCGGTCATATGCAGAATATTTAATAACAGTACTTTACTACTATTGAATTATTGAAATATGCCAACGTGCGATTTTGCGAACTATCATATATTATCCCAGCTTTTCCTTCGATTTTGCAATCTCATACGTCGCTGATAGATGCTCCTGCTTTGAGCTAATTGAAACTAAATCAATTTTGCGTATATAATAGCGCCTACTGTACCGGGAGTTAGTTTGAGCAAATGCAAAGCACAGAAAAATCTTTGATTTATACTGATCCTAACTAAAGCTAACTGTGTAAGCATTTGCCCTACATGAATGCTAACGGATCCCATTCATCTACCATCCGGCGAAGTGTTGAGATTCACCACAATAGAAGGCCGTCTGAAATCTCGTTCACTTTTAGAAGCGTGATAATTATATAGTGGCCTTTGAATCTTCCCGATAGAACAAAATCACTTCGGGCAAATATTTTGCTCTAAGTTGTTCCGTCATCGATTTGCTAACATGTAGCTGTCTTGTATTTACGCTGTGTGCTACAATGCATTGATGCTTTGGGATAGCATTTTTAAAATGTGTAAAATGCAGTACTGAATTTTTGACGAAGTCAACATGCGCCTTTGTGGTAGAATTCACCTACTTAAGAATAAGAGCCTAGAATAATGCTTTTGCTCTTGTTTACTACCGACCATAAATGCTGCTTTTAATATTGTAGCACAGGATTCGCAGCTCGTTTTAAAACGGTTGTTGCAGTACCTATATCGGTTTTTCTTTCCGCAGGACTCTTTCCAAAAAAAGGATCTATTTGTTTATAAGTATAGGCGGCACTGCCACTTAAGGTGGCATGCCATAGGTGGAGTCGCGCGCATTGGCCACTGTCTACGTAAACAAAGTCACCATGTTAGCGGGCGGGGTGTTAGTCGTCTCCAACGCACCAACTTGCGCCCAAGAGTAAAACCTCGTTCAGAAGTGTCGTTCACGGCAAACGATGTCATCTTGAAATATCCTTTTAATAATGCATCTGATATGTTGATATCGGTACTTATCTGACAGTCACCCGATCATGCAACCTTCAAGTTTGGCACACCACGCAAATTATTATGGTAGTTACCTTTGCAAAAAGGCTTTACACACAAGCGCTTTTTTAAAAGTAATAGTAGGTTGGAAGTGGAATATATATCTGCTAACAATGGTAACTTGAACATTATTGTCATGAAAATTTCAAAAGACGCTCGCAACGAAAGTTTGTAATCTTCGAATAGGGAAATACTGATGTCTCAGCTTGTTACGAGCGACACACTGTCCAGAAACCGACCTTACCCTACGAGGAATAAAGGAGCACAAATTATTATTAGTGTTTCAACACTAATAAGAACTAGTTTGTCATCTTCAGTAGACCTACTAATTTTGCAATCTCTTTCCTGCTAAATTTCTGATTTTAATCTTGGCTAATTTTCCGCACAGTATCTTCTGAAAACTTTAGAGTTGCTAGAGGTTTCGATCATTTCCACTGTACTACGAAGCAACTCCATAATTAATGTCTCTATTTTAATAGTGTCTAATCTATCATACGTCCGCTTCCCAAGGAGTTTCCGCCGCCGTGCTAGAATAATTGTACTCTCTGAAGAGATCTCTGAAGACGTCTTCATATATCTTATACAGTTTGAGTACAGTTTTGTACTCGACAAGAACTTCACATTGAATGCTACAGAAGCGGTTTCGATTTTCACTGGAATGTATTTGTCGACCATTAGAGCAGCATTATTTGCCAAAGCTTTGCGTGCCATGATAAATAACTGAAGTGAAGTCGGCAAACTACTTGCCAACTCAGAGATAGAAACAATGTATCTTAAGTAGAGTCCAAATTAATGTCAACCTTCGCATAGACCGAACACGTAAGACACGAAACACAACAAGCAACGGAAACAGTGCCTATTATAGGAGACAAGGATTCTCTGACAACTACGGAAACATATTCTTGTCCACCTGCCAATAAACAGTTTCGTGTTTCCAGGCCTTCTTGTCTCCGTCATCCTGACAGGCCCCGGAAACAAACTTAACCCAAAACTTCGAAAAAGCTTCGAGCGAAAAAAATTTTTTTTAATGAAGGCACGTAGCCCAGCGGTCTAACCTGTCATGCAGGCTACGACGGATGTATGGATGAATGTTGTCAATGTGGAATAAAGGGAAAGCCAACTATACTCAAACGTTAGGATTGATCAACAAGAGTAAACCCGAACGATTGCGTTTTATGGGGTCAAGGGAATTTCGGTTTGCGGACTCACCCTAAAATAACAACTCTTGTCGGCCCAATCGGAGCCTCCCTAACTGACTTACTGGCCACAGACATTAACAAGGAAAACATGCAGGCAAGCGAAAACCTCTTAAGAACCGGCTGGGATTGAAGTAACTAATAACCTAAAGAAAACTTACCATTCCGCAAGCGACAAGTTGAAAGCAGAAAGTTAGATACCATTACACCTTAAAGAGCGCCCACCCCTATTTTTCCTTACAGGAAAGGCCTGGAGGTCGTTACGTGCTACAAACTTTTAATCACAAAATTGAGTACATTTCCCTTAAACGGTTTTCATACGCCAGGCCTTGATTGAATATAGAATGCTCGATGGTAAGATATATCTCATTTCGAGCTAGAGAACGGCACAGACTTTACTCATGCCTCTAACCACGATCAAGTGGTAATAAAGCAACTTCCTTAAAAATGGAAAACATAAGAAACAAAGCGCAAAATGAAATTTCTGGAAAAAGCTGTCTTGTATCCACGAGTATGGCTTCCAAATTCCAAAGCTGTGTGACCCCTTGTCCTGTCAACTTAGAAAAACTCCAAGCGCACTGCCGCAATATCTTAAGTTCGGGTAATACAATTCCGGCCAGGATAACTCTGCAGGTGAATTTACTAACTATATAGCCGATGGGATTTTCAATGAGCATATCAAAGACGCCAAGGCGTTTACACCCGGTTAAACAAATATGTTCAGTTCATAACCGGAGACAGGAAAAATCTTAGGAACTTAGGGGGAACGGATGATAATTGTCACCCTCAAAGGCAAGGAAAACCTGATCTGAAGTCTTGGGTAGGGATTGTACAAAAAAGAACTGCATTAACGGACTCCTCTAAAGCACTCTCGAAAAATGCCTAACCTTCTACCTAGACCGTTATTTATCCCGGTGGGTCCACGATGGCAGCCTCAGGATACCAATCGAAGATACTGGAGAATATTTAAAGTGCTGAAGACATTTTCTTTACGCTATTTTAATCGAATTTAAGGTTGCATTTGAGTCTTCACAGAGGAATAGCGCTAACAAAGCTGGTAGGCCAAAGGTGTTGCTCCACGTGTTAGCACTGATGTTAGGCTTACTGCCGACAAAGTAGGTAGTCATTGACGATATGTCAGTCTAGAGGAACGGGGTAGTGCAGACAACCGGATTTGCCCAGAAAAAACAATCTAAATCCTCTGCCCTTCTTGCTTATGATCAATCACTTGCCCCCGCACATCAAGCATTGCATTCCTTCGGGGAATTGTTTTTGCATGCTGACGACCTCGTGAGAGCCGATTCAACCTGCAGCAGACATTAATAACCCCTAAGAGCTACGTGGCGGACATTGAACTTAATAATCGTAAAACAAGACAATTCTCATAAAATTCACGAGGAGGAAAACCGTGGTTGTAACTTCAAACTTAGCCAACCCTAAAAGTGACACGATAGGCGTGTGCGATCCTCATAAATGACAAAGAATGATAAAACCTCAAAATATTGTATCGCCACATAGTTTTTATTTTTCGCCATTTCACATTTTGGATGATATCATACCATGCCGGTTATCTCGTTTTGTGCTCATTTTCTATTCGTTACTTCTAAAGAACTAAGTAACTTCTAATCTTAATAATATTATGAAGAAGAGCTGATTATATATACAAATGTGTGATGTTGCTTCCCCCTGGTGGCTAGCCACCAAGTTATTGAGTCTTACTTATGCCCGTCTATTCTCTTACTTTCTGATAATGCTCGTTTGTACCTCGAATGAAGATGCCAACACCAAGGTATCACTAATTTTTCAAAACTTGGTCAAAACCTAGATGCTGGTCCACCTTCTGTGTAGTTTTCAGTTACTCTCATCGTCCATACCAATCACCGTGATCCTTTACTCAAGCTGCATTCAATAACACCAGTCTCCCATAGTTACTTCAATCTGCGTTACGTCAGTCCAAATTACATTTTGTAAGCGGTCTTATCGCGCTTCACTTTTTCTTATGCCTTTGTTTTTTTTTCATACTTCCAATTGTGCAATTCCTTAAATCCTAAAGAAACAAAAATAAAACAAAAAATATTGTAGTAGCATATCTGTACCGCAAACCCAAGGCGTTTACGAGACCCTTAAGACCCGATCACAGTAAATCGTTACTAAAACGAACAGCTCAGATCGAATACAATTATTTTGTTTCATTTCAGACAACGAAGGCACATCATCGATGGCTGTGCTCGAATAACGGAACGTTTTTTAGAAAGAAAAACGATCACGTCCTGTACAGCTCTTTCTGTCGAAATTTCTATATTGCATTAATTGTTGTAAGCGCCATAATTTACCAGTATTCGATCTATTATGGTGTTAACATACAGCATTACACTCTGTAGCCATAAACACATTTCTAAATATAGCTCAATTTCTTATTGAAACTTCTTAATGGTAGGCTACTGTGGCAAGTTTCTGTTACACCAAGAGAACATAAGGTTAATAGTGGTAAAGCTAACGAATGTAAATGCGATAATAGTAAGCCATGGTCACTACTACTACTACTGGTACTACCTTGCGTTAATTCCAACAATTTCCGTCCAAGCAATTGTTGCCAAAGCAAACTTTTACCGTGGTAGACGTTCTTTGCTGCATGCTATTAAATACCTCGGTTATTCCTAGTTTTTACGCTATTTAAACCACTTCTTATCAACGCCCAACTACTCGTAAATGTTTCAAAATATCAAGGATGACATTTCCCTTTCACGCTGCTCTGGTATTGGCATGCCAACACTAATCAACACATCTTCATCGTATGATCTGAAACGCACCAAAATATCATCCTACTATAATCTTCCGCCATAGCTTTCCAGCAACTACTGCCTGGTGAATGAGACAAATACAGTACCGTACGATACGACCGTTCAGCGGACTCATCCCTTCGTTAACGCCGCGAAGTGTCCCATGTATTAATTTTTTTCTATGTCGTACGGTGCCTTCTGCGTTCAACAGAACTTCCACCTATGCCCACACTCGTTACAGAACACGAACGTGGTCATTGGTTCATCAGCGCTTCGTGTCTGCACTTGGTTGTATGTACAGTTCGACTTTCTGCATTTGCCACACTTCAGCAAATCTGTCTTCGTTCCACCGGTGACAGCCATCTGATGGTCATCAATGGCCTCTTTGGTTAACTTCTGTCGTAACTGTTTTAACTCGTCCGATGCCATCTCTTCGGCTGACATCTTAGCGAGGCGGTCGGGACTAATCTGCCCGATCAAAACAGCCAACCTGAATCAGCAAATAATATAAAATATGAAAGTCAAATAAAAATGTATTATATCAGAGAGCGCGTGCACTTATACTTGTAACAAAGCATGTTGGCTAAAATAAGAGAGGAAGAAATGTTCAAAAATTCTATTTCAGAAGCAGATTTAAAAAAAAAACTTGCACAGCTTCGATTTAGGTCACTTTTTTCTTACTAATCGGAAAAACAGAAGTTCATTAAGCGTACCTTAAATTAGGGTTTTTCGGATCCTTGAGATTGGCAACACGACTGCGAATACGATTTTTATACTTCATGTCAGTGTTATTAAACTCATCGTAGCAGGAGCTTTCAATGTGACGAGCCAGGTCATCAGGATCGACTTCGTCGCAACCTTCTGGCAGGCCAGAGCCCTGCAATTTTGTAAGGCAAACCTTGCTAACAGGATTATTGTAATACATATATATATATCCTACACTGTGACTATAATATATATGCAATATCCTTGCGGTTCAAGGTTTTGAGGCGCGCTTTTCAGAAAAATAAACACAAACGGACGCTTATGAAGAATAGGATTTAAATACCTTTAGCGCAGCAGAAAGCAGTTCTCGACATTTGAGACGAACTGCGTCTGTTGTATTAGCAGCAGCAGGAAAACTCGTTTGCCGGGGTGGATTCTGAGCGCTCGGAGGTGCCTTAGTCTGATTATTTTGTTGCCCATCTTGTGACTGGTTTTTGTTTTTGTTCTTAGACGATGCATCCCCACTGCCTCGATTATTGCCGGTACCGCTGGAAGGTTCGTCATTCCTTGATGGTGTACCTGCCACCACGTAAACCGCGTATAAGTATTGAAAAGGTCGTTTTGAATTGGTAATTACTCAACAGTTTGAACAATTTCTCCACAGTATTTGATACTAAATTTTACTACATGATTATTGTATAAATTATAGAAACTCCATAGCCTGAATTATACAACAACGTCTACCAAAGTTGTGCTGTGAACGAATGTCTTAAATTGAATAAACTGCATAAGCTAAAGTTGCATTGGTAGTTAATTAACAAGTAGATGCATTGCAAATAAATAAAACATTCGCCGAATCTATGAAATGAAAAACAAATAATTTGCGCACTTCGTAATAAGTAGAGGCTCCATAGACTAGTACAAATGTGGTTAGCATACTTACTTCCGAGTAGCTTTTTCCAGTTTTTTATAAGAGTCTTTGCAAGCGATATAACATCGTCGTCATTGCTACTTTTTCGAAGCGCGTTGACAGCCATACCGATCCGTGTTTTCTGAGAAAAAAGCAAAACGTATACGCAGTAGTTCATTAACTTAGTGCAGGTTAATCCTGTTGAGGCGTTTAAAGGGAAGTATTTGAATAATTGGTTCTAGATTTCATGTCCGGAGCTATCATCAGGTTTATTACATCAGACGGAGAGTGGTATTTATTACTTTATAGAGCAAACACAGATACGTCGCACATCATAGAAAATCCCTCGCTTTAAGGTAATCATTATATGGTATGAAAAATAAATTACAGCCACATGAATCGTAGTTTTTACCTACCGTGAGAATTTCGAGAGTAATGGGGAGCGACTGCAACTGCCGGAGCATATCCAGCGCTTGAACTTGTTCCTGTAATTCGAAAAACAAACTATTATATCGTTTTGACACTATTATATTACCAGTTTCAACATCATTCATCACAAGAAAACCGACAACTTCCCCTTCTCGGAAAGTTGTGGATCACTTTGAATTAAGGTATTATGAACGGACTGTCCAAAAATGAAGAGCCCTATTTTATAAGCTCACGCTTTTCTTTTTCCACGTTCTATGCAAACAAGAAATGATTTTACACCTCACTTAACGAATCAGCTTCAATACATTACTTTCAATAATGCACTGAAGTTGAGTAACTACGACGCTTTAATTCATTACTGTGAATGTCGAGAAAAGAAAAATAGTGTGTGTAATAGAGCACCACTAGCGGGCTTCGCCCCGGGCCTGTTTTGTTTTTAAGCATACTATTTCACATCTGTAGAAATAAAAAACTAATTGCATCTGAAACACAAATAACATCAAATAGTGGCGCTATTCCCTGATAGCTTTTGCAGGGCATACTTTAAATGCAACTCTTCATGCAGCGCACGTTGAGCACACTCGTTCACATACAACTTTCACAGGATCATACATTTGTGCATTTGATGATATATCAACGCGGATGATTCTAGTTGCTAACTTGGTGTTTCTAAATCATCGTTTTGAAAACAATGATAAAAAGAAAAGATGAGACACCGTGAAAAATGAGAAGCCCAAGTACATTGACATTACGCTCTACAAAGAGAAGCAAGCTTCTTCCCTTGGTGGCAGAAATATTCGTTCAATTTGGTCCAAATCCATTGCTGCGCTTCCCGTGATGCATTTCTAGCTCTCTATAAAAAAAAGTAATTCTAATAGGGCTGCGTTTAGAGGTTGGAGACACTTCTTTCTAAACTCTTTAGCAAGTAACATAACATAAGGATAATAAATAGACGAACCTGCAGGCTTGGCCCAGCTCCTGCTTTGCCGTTAATTTAACCAATCTGATTAATTGATGTTGCCCCCAACCTAGCTCAGGGTACAAAACATACTAACAACCATTCCGTTGTAATTAAGCTGCCTCGCCTAACCCGTTACCCTTTTGCAAATGTTTCGTCAGTGTCGTAATACGAGCGAATCTCATTCACGTTACATCTGGTGCAACATAAACTATAGCACGATTGCAAGTTTATATCTTTGCTCTATATACTACTTGATAGTTCACCGATACGTCCACAGGTGTACATTTTTAATAACAACATCCTGTTGCCCTGTGCCAGGCGTAATTTGTTACTACTAATAACACTGTAGATAATATCTTTTGCTTGCTTCGTCGATTTATTGACTGATGCAATAAACAACCCGCTATACAAAACACCATATTAAACCTTTACTTTAGAACTAAAATTTAGGTATAGGAACGTAAACTATATTTTAATTCAATTTTAATTAATTAGTAATAATTTAATTTATATAGAGCTTTGGTTTGGTACAAAAATACACGCCTATATAGATCTCTATATAAAACATTTTCATCCTAAAGTCACAGTAACCAAATAGTTACGATATATATACATATATATCAGTTTTTGGCCCTTTTTATGCTGAAGTACTCTTTTCGGGTATAAGCACATGTGGGCTGATCTATAGATTGATAGGTCCTCGCCTTTTACATAGACATAGCAAATTTTTTTAATCCTCTTAAAATGTAAGTAAAAAGGCTCAACGACCATTTCAAGAGCGGGCTTCGTAGTTGGATAGGTGTTACCAACGAAAAAAAAATAAGTAGCGTTACACTTCAACACAAACTATAGTTTGATTGCAGAATCCATACCTCTATGGTTATCCTATTCGATTGCATTTAAGATTTTGCAGTACTAATTGTGATCGGTCGCCGCAGCTATTTCGTTTCAGTAATTCGATTTTCCTGATTCAGTCGGTCTACTAAAAACCTTTATTCTGTTGCAGTTACCTTGCTCTACGTACTCCATTCTCAAATTGAGAGGCTCTAACAACCCTGCTGTAGTTATCTGATCATCCTGTTCTGCTGTTTAATTTGGGTTGCACTTACGGCTTAACACTGCCATACTGTATTAGTAGCATATATACTTCAACGAACGTCCGGTTGCAGTTTTCGTAAAGTCCAATTATATTAAGTCTATTAGTCGGACTCTTTCTTCTGTCGAAGCAATCATACTTCTTTGATCAAGGCAATTTCTCACATGATCAGTAACCCCATTTGTCTGGTGCAGTTATTCTATTGCCTTGTCCCAGCAGTAATTGACTGCTTTGCTGCAATGATCTTACAGTCGTACCAGAGCATCCTAGTAACCTATTTACTCATCCGTTGGTACTTTACATGTATATAGTTTGAGGAAACAACTGAATTCCATTTCATAATTACTAATATAAAACCACGTACATTTACTCGACTTGTATGCGTAAAGTTAACCTATAGCACCGTACGTATTGAGACCTTACCTAATCCACGTTCCGTGTCCTTCTGCAGATAGTTATTCCCGCTTTTCAGCTGGAATGGCATTTATGCTGTTTTTCCATTTCAATAAATTCAACCACCCGGAAAAGTATTCATTCAATTGAAGAATATGGTTCATATTTAATCAAATGCTTTAGGAGGTAGCCAAATTGGCACTGACAGTTCTGATTGGGGAATGAAACTGCCCCCAGAAAAAAAAGTATTTGCACACTTGAAAAAATTGACTGTGATGGCTCATATTTCATTAATTATAAACCACTTTGGCAAAAATCGAAATTTTACTGCTAAATCAAAAATTTCTTCACGAAATTCAATCGTGCATCCATTTTATAGAGCTTGAATATTTTCCAGTAAAAACATTTGTGAAGCGTCGACGGTTATCGCGTAATCGCAAAAAAAAATCAATTTGCCAAAATTGATATTCTATGAAATATATGAAATATATATATGAGATATTCTATGAAATAAAACAAACCCTTTTAGAAAAATATATTCATCAAGTCCATTAATTTTTGTTATTTTGGAAATGAAGACAAGGTCAAAGCTTGGGACGCCAATGAAATGCGCATAATTTGGCGCCAAATTATCGTAGATCTAATAGCTCCGGTGGCGCCACTTGGCGTTCGAACGAAATATCTACTTGGGCTATTTGCAGTCATTTTTGAGTAAGTCATATGTAATGCCCCCACTACCTCTTTGTACGGAGACACCGCCTACATCGGCACAAATGGGTAAAATGTCGAGGCATCGAGGGCCTGCCAAGAAATTAATAAAGAATTATCATCTGGATGGGCAAACTCAAATGTCCTTCTTAGCCGGTTGCCTACATCATACACAGCGAGGAGCTAGATTGTTTCTTTGGAAGTGGGAATGATTAGCTGTAAAAACAAAATAATTATTCGAATAGAATCACTCTGTAGAGGTTAGGTTTACTTATCTTTTCTCGGACAACTTCTATAATTTAGCCACGAGAGCTTCGATGACGAAGTTTTCCCTAGTGTCGGATTCGTGTATCTGTTCCAATTCTATCCAATTCTATAGTTTGCCTATCATATCGGACAAGATTTTTTTTTAAAACGTATTTGCGACGAATAATGTTTATGGACAAAAAAGGTTTTTTACATTGTATTGTTCGATTTCGGTTAAATACAGCATGACCAATTGAGCTACATGGTAATCCATTTCCCAACCCCTTAAACTTCAATAGTACTGCGCCTTTGTTTGGAGAAAGACACACTGCTGTAACATGCGTATAATGCTTGAAGTAATATTACAATCAGTTCCGAACCAAGGCTCAAAGGAACGAAATACAGGATTTAGCGGGTAAAAACCTGCTACTTTATCAGTGAAATCTAGTCTAAACAACGTATTAGTTCCTATAATCTTTTAAAAATACGTGCATATATAGTGCTCAACTTGATGTAACTATCTTTATTGGAGTTCCTTCTTCACAGCACTTTGGCTGTACTTTACGCTTTATAAAATTTCAAGTGAATAAATCAGAGCTAAACGAAAAGCAGCTGTTCTTACAACTAGAAGAGATTTTTTGCTTCCACTATTCGCTGAACGTAAATGTCTGCGTCGTAGGCCAGGAACCCTTGCGATTACCCTTTCTTTGAGCAATCGGCCCCTTCTCGTTAACGCCATGCGTACCTTCTATTACCGTACCTCATCTCCGGCAAACTTTTTCGCCAGCCGACGGAGTCCAATTCTATCCGGCGCCAAATACTCCTCCCTCACGTAATCGGCGCACGGACAGCCCTCAATGCTCCGTAACAGGAAATCGTGAAACGGCGCCAGGTGCTTCTGAACCCGCAAAAACACGGATTTGAGAATTTTTTTTATGTTTACCCATAAGGGATAAACATTCGCAGCCCCCAGCAAATAGCGCGTTAGTTACTATTACGTACAGTCGAACCCACATTAAACTACTGTGCACGAAAGTTCCCTATAACTTTTGTGCCAATCACACGATCAAGCATAGACCGAAACACCATCATCCGAGCATCTATTTATCCATCCCTTATCCATTTTCTACAAGCGTCGATTCAGTTACTTAGATTGCAGAAACACGCATCGGAAAAAACACTCAACGCTGCTGCTGCTGCGGTAGCAACACCGAACGCGCAAGCTTAGATCGGTTACTAGCTAGAGTTACATGTCAATAAAATGAATTGCGTTTATGTATATACGTATGTAAAAATATGATGCGTCCACATACACGTATAAATGTTCCGCGTGCCCTAACTTACCGAAGGACCGGCAGTCACCATTTTATCAAGGCCTTTGCTTATCTTGAGCACCTCTTCTTCGCAGCCCATCGCGATCACGCCAATCACTAGCACTATCGAGAAGCAAAAAGTGTACATACAATTTAGCCGGCTGAAAATGGTACAGCACGGAACGACAGTCGACAACGAAACACAAAAATCCACGTTTCACCAATACTATTGTTGCTTCTATGGGCTCAGTAACGTCCGTTGTGTTTTTATTACATCAGAGCAGAGACCCCGAGATGGGAGAAGGCGGACGGGCGGCCGACTGCTGTTTATATTAGTAAAAATTAACCCGCTCAATGTTGCTGTTATATCAGCGGTTATCCTTGTTGCTTTCGGCCTTTCATCTAATTACTGATTGGCTTCACCGCTTCGTGTGTTGTGGTTGGTTTCGTGTGGCCCGGTCCATAACGCAGCGCTAGCTGGCTGGTAAGCAGATTAGCGGAGTGCAAACACCGAAGCATGGATACGCCCGCCACCATAAGCGATGGGCTCGCCGCCGGAATCAAATGGCGCTTCAATTTGAATTTGTCACTGAGTCAGTCTATCGATAAGGCCCAGCGAGTTGAGAAATAAATCCTGTGGATCACATATATACAGACGGAGCGTCTCCGTTTAGGCTAAAGATCGGTTTAGTGAGCTCTCCATGTCGCACAACAGCGAACTCTTGTCCCGTTTCAGTGTAGAATTTTATGTGATGCGCTCGAATGTGAGGATCAGCGCGCAGAATATCGGAGCGTGTCGCGCGCACACACATTGTCAAAATATTGACTGTGGCTTCTGGTCTTCAGATAAAATTTCGAGAATGTTGTCTGCTCAGGCAGAACTTGATAGATTGTGGCATAAGTAAAGGTTATGCAATGTAAAAGAACGCAATGTCCGTCCGAGTTTCCTTTCAGGCTGGTTGGATGGCCGATGTTAAATACGCTTCCCTCACTATATAGCAAAGCGAATGTGTGGGTTTTACTACGTAGTGTATCCCTTGCCTCTGCGGTGTGCTAATACCATGTAAACAAATGAAGCCCATTTGCTTGTATAGTACAGCGAATCATCACAACGGAGTGGAGGAGCAGTATAACTTCATTCACAATTTTTCGTAGATAGAAATTGTTCATGAGATGTTCATTGGACATCTCTAGCCTGTTCTTGATTTTCGAATATTACCAAGAGCTGCAGCGGAACTGCGGAAACGCATTTGAAATTGCTCGAAGTGAGGTTGCATCGCGTGAAGGTTTCTGTATCTTGCCTTCAGTGGTTTCTATCTTAAAGCGGTGGACCTGGGTGCGTGTATTCCTAGTGCGTGTGGCGGTAGTCGTTCCAACAGTCCTATAAGGTGTATGAGGCCGAAGGACCTTAAATATGTGATACGCGTGCATATTGTTACCAACAGCTTGGAACGGAGCTGGTGCTCACAATGACCAAGACTTTAGAAAAGGAGTTTCATGCCCTGTTCAGGCCACCACCAGCATCAACTGAGAGGTTAGAAGACGATACAGATATTTTTTTCGTAGATGATTAGCGATGCCGGCACAACAATTGACGACAGCCCAGTACAGAAGCATTTTGTTCTGCGTATAATTACTTATAGCATTCCCGTAAAATCATGTTGTTGTTAACAAAAATGCAAGTTACTTTCAAGTTCTTAAAAAGTCTGGTTTTTGCTACGATTATTGAAGATGTCCGTTACCTGAACCGGTTAATAACTAGGTGTCAGTTTCCAAGGGATAGATTGGCAAAAGTAAATGGGCAAATATTCGCGTATGTGTTTAGCAGATGGTATCATCGCTGAGGCAGTGATTAGCTCGTGGAAATATAGGCAGTTTTTAATCAATCGTTGTTATATTAATATCGTTTGTGTAAAATCAGAGAGAGTTTGTTGCGCGGGTGCTCCGCTGGTCTGGTGTCATTGGTCACTCATCAGACAACGTCAAGTCTCTTCTGCTTGTGGCACGTCGTATGTAGGCATTTTATCAATATATAGAACATTTCATCTATACAGACGCCGGTGTCGAACCCCTAATAGTTTGCAGGAAAATACATATACACAGCATTTATGAGCGGCTCAAACGTGCGGGAAATAACGACGAATATTAATTGCGTTACTATTTGCATGTAATGACAAACAAATACCTCGATGACCGATGCCGCAAATTTAAGGTGAGATGAATAGGCGTGAAGCAGATCTTATCATTTCTGAAGATTTCAGACAGATGTCGGCAAGCTGAAGCTGATATGAAAACCTGAAGGCAATAGTATCAATGACGTAGCGTTGTGTACCATGTTCCGTATTGACATAGGGTATATGATAATGATGTAGTTGTATAGAAATGTAGACTGCCGTGTTCCCCTTGAACGTGTAGGGGATAAACTGTAGGATACGCGATATCGCGTCTTATTGTAAATACACGAAAAGCGATTGGCTTGACAACCCACTACTGAGACTAACAGAGAAACCATGCAGTTGGTAATATGATCAAAAGTTAGCATTATTTTTTTTGTGTAGGCGAAACTAAGACATGAAACATATCAATACATCTAGTCGAGCACATGTCACACCATGAGTGATATTATTGGCACTGATGTACTCATTTAAGTAATATATACAAATACAGATAAATAACAACGTTAATAGAGCACTGATATTATGTATTTACCTTGGTTGCATTATTTCAGGCGAAAAGATGCACGAAACCGGATCGGCAAACCCCCTAAGGGGCTTGCAGAGGTGAGTCAAGTCGTGAACATGCACATGCTAACTCGTTTGGCGTAGTTTCTTACTGGAAGATTTCGGTAAAGTTGATCGTTAGTTAATGCTATCTTGTTGTGGTCGCATTCGTTGGTTCCATGTATATATATATATATATATATATAACTTTGGATATAACAAGTTCGCTTCTGTTTTGTGTTCTACAGTAAGAAGGAAATCTATGCTGTGAACGCGAATAAAATAGAGCGTACAGCAAATTAGACGGCAAGATATTATATATATATATATATATATATATATATATATATATATATCTAACTCATCGTTAGGCAAGAAGTAAATTTATTTACAGAGTCCTTTCTCAATACTTGGATCTGATTTTAAAATTATTTGGTTAATGGTGGAACTTTACATCAAACTAACTTGTTAATTCCGAGTTACAGAAGTCGTAGGGTAACATAGTCCGAAGACCACAACTTGAGCTCTCTAAGAGTAATAATAATTCTTAACTACTACAGAAAAAAACGGTTTAATATAATTTAGGAGCTACTGCTGAATATAAAAATATTTGTGAGGTTCGGCCTGGTATATTGGCCTCTGTAGGTTTAGTTTTTTAGAGCACGAGTTTTCAAAACTTAGTTTAACGGCCTTACCACATGCTTAGAAAACTGCCTTCAGCAGGTAGGGCAACATTTTATGCCTGCAATGGAATGGACTTAATAAGTGTGAATGCTAACATTGTCTCTGCTATTGAGGACATGCGATTAGATTTCTTAATCAAAGCAGAACGTAGTCCGGATTGTTATTAGTTATAGTCAATTTTGACTAACAGTCTATGATCCTTTTCTTGGAGCCTACACTCGATAAATACGGTAAGATTTGTATAATGATGCATATACTTGTGATATGCATCTACTTGTGTGATGCACCTATGCTAGGTGAAGTATTCAAGCGAGTTCTTAGTTGTATTACAATGAGTTGTGAAAGCTTATTTTGAAGAAGCCAGCACAAAATTTGGGGTGTTTGTATAGCCCCTTCTTAACTAATTTTATTACTTACAGACGCTTGCCAACGACCAACCGCATTATTTTTTCTAATTAATTTTAAAAACCTGGGTATATAAAAACTACATAAATCGTTTCACAATAACACTTATCAGAGTATTTAATTATCCATTGCGTCGTATACACTTCTTGGGCGGCCAAACTATGACAGCCGAAGCTGATTGTGACGAAAACGTTATTACAGAAAGGCGGTGTGTTGGCGAGTAGTTCGGAACAGGGTTTCCATCCCCTCGACCATCGGGCCTTTCTCGAGCTCCGGCCAAACCCATCACCGTTTGCCATATTTGCTGCGATTCGAGCTTGCATTCAGGCTGCGGAAAGGCGGTCCGGAATTTCCGACAAAGTCGCCCACCAAAAAGCGGACGGGGATTCGTCTGTGGCAGACATTTCCGATGACAAAAAAGTAAGGGAGATGTCTTGTAGTCTTCGATTATATTATATGTTACACTTTATTTCGGATCGTGAATCTAGTATCCTGTCTCCCTGATAGTCCTTTTTTAACCCTGACCCAATATGTTCGCTATTATATGGTTTGGCATTTAGCATGGTTCTGGCGTTTGTAAACATCTAGGATCTTTAGAATGACGGTTCTGGTTAGTGTTTCACTTCGTACTGTACAGCTAGGCCAATTAGTTAGATTGATTAAGAAGGCGGCTAACATCTTATCAATACGTTATAATTATCACCAGGTACCGTTCTGTTTGTGGTTTTGATTTACAGACGACGCAAGGCGTTCTCCCGTTACCGCGCCTAGTTGTGATGGGCATCCACGGAATGCTGGATGTAATTCGGGACAGTTGTCAGGAACATCCTGATCTATGTGCTCGTGCTCTACGGGGCTTGTTTGACACTTTGCAGGGTCTGGCTCCTGAGGTGATGAGAAATGAGCCTCGCGAGGCGATAGGTATGTATTCCAGATGAAACCTGTTGTTTCAAGAACACCGCGGAGTATTACGCCAAATCTGATCGTCAGTATTTAGTTCCTTCATCGTACAGGTACAATGGAAGAACCATGGGATAGTACCCTTCATCACATGTCCAATCAAGCGAAATTTTAACCTACTTGCTAACTTTGTTGTGTGAAATGGGTACTGGGTATAACTTCATCAACACAAATTGCCAGGCTTTTGATTATGAAACATATTGAGAGAATATGAAAATCGAAAAACAAACGTGTTTGGTATCGGACCTTTTATATAAGGGTCCTATCATGTGTTATTAAGGAGTTTGCGGCGCTTCAGAGGAAAAACTGAAGTTCTTGTTAATTCTTTAATATCTTTATACATGCGTTGTGCTGATGTTTGTACCTCCACACCTCTTTGCTTTTGTCTGGTTCACAGATAAATTATTTTCGTTGATGCTGGAACTGTCATCTATGGATGAAGTGTCTCCGGAGTTGAGCTCGATCTCATCGGGATGTCTCATATCATTGGCTATTGCATCAGGAGAGACGGCCAAACTTCTAGCAGCTGCTAACTGTCTGCTGTTAACATTACCTGACAACTCCGCTCAAACGCGTGTACTGCCGGTACATGAATCATTCAAAATTAGATTATTTTAATGCAACAACAACAAGCAATGCTATAAAAAAAAAAAAAAGTCGTTGTATTCTTATCATTATCCAATTTTCGAAATGTGCGCGAAATTAGATTTTCGGTGACCTTAAGACATTGCCTAACGTCTAACCCTCACATGTGTGATTGTTTGTTTAAAACTGTGCTAAACATTCATTTTGATACAGACTCCACTGATTTTAGTAGGATTGCAGCGTTCCCTTCATTCAATGCTAACTGGTGCCCCGGGTCGTCCTTTGCCTCGGTGGTTTCATCTTGGGATACCCCCGCTACCAACTGACTCATTTCAAATAAATCTTCCATTAGAGCTAGATTCTGGTAAAGACTCGAGCCGAAGGGAATCACCGTGTTCCCTTGCATCAGACGGTCGATTCATTTACCTTTTGCAGTCCGGAGCTCTTTACAAAATTAGTAATGGATTCGGAGATTCCATTGAGGTGAGTCCCAATAGAAACCATACTTTAGAGAAAATCACAAGTTGATGTCATTCGGAAAAAGGACTTATTTTTAGCACGAGCATTCTCCTCTATTTTGAATTATTTATTTTTCACAGCCATCGTTTTTTGTAGTTGGTTGTCATATTACATTAATAATTTTCAACTCTTTAGGGCAACGTATTAGTGATGAACCGTCATCTGGGACGCTCTGAAGGCGTCGTGTGGGTTGGTGTTGTGGCTGATGATTTGGTGGGTGTAGCCATGGAATCGGAAATTAACGGCGTGAGTGCTAACAAAGGCTCGATGCGAAAAGGGACATACTCGATTGTTTTCCTGGATAAAGATACTCTCCAAGTTTCGCGTCGGATGTCGCTTGCCAGCGGAATGACGATTCCACTAGTAAACAGTACGTAGACATTTTTGTCTAAGTTATTTTTGCATCTAACCAATAAGTAACTTGCTGTTCGAGATTGCAGGCTCTGATGAGTGCTTGTTTCATGTTTATCTTGATAGCTCTGTTCAGCGACGGCCAGTCGGTGTGCAGTATTTTGCCCCATGAAGAAGCATTTTCGATTCAGACGATATTTCGGCCACTCACGGCCGCCGAAGACAGTGATGAGCCGATACGAGCGACGGCAGCTCCGATGTCAGCTGCAACTGCGTCAGAAGCTTCCCGAACCGCTGAAATGCTGCTCAAACTAACAAAAAAGTCGATGCTCGTTTACGGCCACGGTATCATTGCCGACATCAGTAGGAGCGATATAGCAAGCAAACAACTTCAAGCTCAGGTGGGAGCTGGATGTGGCGGGCAACCACCGCAGTCCAAACAGCATCAATTCGCGTCGAAGCAAGCTTCGGCACTTCAGCAGGATGACAGTAAAATGCCAATCGTTCTTTGTAAGTTGTATATTCAGAATGACTGCAATTTAAATCTTGAGTACATCAGTTACTAAGTTTGCCATTCACTATTAAGAGGTAAAGTCAAACTAACACTCATTCCCTCCAATAATTGCACTGTGTTCTCAGCTGCTGTATTAGGCGCTGGTTCAGAATCAGAGGAAGCTGACATTGTGGCTTGTGGAAAGGATTTCGCTCTGGTGCGTGGAGCTGCTGGAACTATGTGGGCAGCTGGTCGTGTAGCAGCTCTTGGAATAAAGCAAGGGTCGGATCGATGGCCTAGCATGAATTTATCCGCCCGAAGGGTTGCCGTAGGTCACGATGGAAGTCATGCGGTTTTTCTCGCTCCTGATGGAGCCGTCTGGTTCGCTGGAACAGCACGTCGAGGCGAAGATGGTGATCCTGTCAAAGGAAAACGACAGCCCAAAACCACCAAACCAAGGAAGTAAGTTAAATGTCGTAACTCCTAGAGTTACTGCATTAAAAGTCTGCCTGTTAACATATGTTCATCCCGTAATTTTGGTTAAAGTAGTAATTTACATATTGTTAATGAAATATCACTTTTAAGAATTTTTTTTTTTGACTGGGTTTAAGTAATCCAAAAGCGTTAGTTGTAATAAGGATAATAATAACGTATATGAAGAAAGCAAAATTGATGTTTTCTGTCTATTATTTTATGGGCATATTCTTTGGGACACGATATTTCCTTTCTAGAATCACAAAGCTTGAAGGTGTTGAGGCAGTGGACGTCGCTTGCAATAATGGGACAACGGCTGTGGTAACGTCAGCTGGCGATTTGTTGATGTTCGGAAAGGACGCAGCAGGTCATACGGAGCCGAACACGGGTCTCGTTGCAGGAGTTAAAGACGTTAGTACTATAGTGTGATATTTATTACACAGTTTCAGTAGCTTGCTCTTACAAATGTTGTTAGCATAGTGGCTTATTGTTAGTTAATGAAGTTTAAAGGGGCCTTCCGGATATTATCTCTGTTGTCGATCGGACTAACTGTAATCTTTAGTTGTTAATCTACTCATGTCATTGTTAATAGGTGATGCAAGTATGTCTGGGAAAGGCCCATGTAGTGGCCGTAACTCACTCGGGAGCTGTGTACACATTTGGTGTGAACCATAAAGGGCAGTGCGCGAGGGAGCTGGCTGCGGGGTGTTCTATCTCTGCTACTGGATCCGGTATATTTTAGCCATTTAATTAATTATAATCTTTAAATAGTTTAAGGAATACTTGATATACGCATACCTTCTTAGATCTTGTAATAAAATCAGAAAAGTTTGCTACTCTAGTAATATAATGAATCCATTGCATCACCACTTATTACAGGAAAATGCACGTCAACTAAATATAACAATCCGCAGAAAAAAACTATTCTCAAATACATCTCTGGAATGAAGTACGTGTAACAAATATTATGTAATTTTAAATACGGTGACAGCTTAGAATTACTATTGCCGTCTATTGAGTATCACCAGTACGCGTGGCTGACTTTTCATGTCTAATATTACAAGTTTATGGTAAATGCGCTTACTACTTTGTAAATATAATAGAGAGTTGTTGGAGCATGCTAGTCGCTGTTCTCGTCGGGGGTCTCTTATTGTTGATGGTATTCATTATTTTTTGTAGCGGATATTTCAGAGGTGTCCATTACTACGGCGAGCAGTGCTGATTCGTTAGTTGATGTCGAAGGTGCAGTAGCGACTATAGGATCCGGAGACGAGCAGGGCCCGTCTGGGGGTGTTTCCGATGGTTCACTCAGAGAAGTTCAGCCAGTTCTTGGCGGCTGTCCGCCCCACCAGTTTGTATCTCAAAATTGCCGCATCTGCACCGGGTGCTTTCAATGCACGGGTTATGGATCACATTGTATAGCCTCGATGAGCTTACCCCCCGGCGCTCAGAGACTACCCGGCGGGTAAGTGCTTCTCAAACTGTCGCACTGCGAAGCAGTTCTTCTGTAATACTGGGAGAACGCAAATGAAATAAAAGTAAATACATGAAAATATTGTTTGTTAATTACTTTAGGCAGGCATTTAAGAAAATTCGCATATAGTTTGGTTATTGTTAATTAACCAGGCGTATTATACAAATACGTAATATCAACTACAGCAATAAATGTCGATTGTTTTTTATTTGTTTGATAAACTTTTGTTTTCAAGGGTGTTCAAAAGAATACAGGAAAGTTTCTCTATGAATGTTTTGACGATTAGTTGAAAAGTGCTCACTTGAATATTTAATAAGGCTTACGAATTGTTATTACTATTATAGCAGCTAAATAGAGTTAGTTAAATAGACCCGATTTCAACGTTGTGCGGTGTTAAATGTGTTGTATTCATCTCGTGAATTGTCGTTGCAGCCAATGCGGTTGCGGCGTGGGTGATGGGGGATGTATTCATTGCGGACTTTGTCAAGTTTGTTGCACCCCACGCGAGGACGGCGCCCCTTCCGCTGTGGTTCTTTTGCCATCCCCAGCGTCCGGGCAAGCCGATGCGCCGCCATCGGCTGCAACCGCGACAGCTGGACAAGTGACCGAATCGATAGTATCTGGGCCACCTGCCCAGGCTGCAGCTCCGTTTGTCGCTACTGCTTCCTGTGAACAAAACCAAAGACTGGCCGCAGCTGTAAGTAGAGGCTTGATACTAGCGCCTTCTGTGCCGTATCATCATCCAAAAGTAATAATGGAAATCGATTAGTTAGTGGAAATCGATTAGGGTCTTTACTCCACATTGCCAATACACAATTGCCATACAATTAGTAATGAAGCTCTGTTTTTTGAACCCCTATTTCTCTCTGTTGTATGTTTAGATGAATACGTTAGCCGGTAGCGGAGTAAATGCTCTTGGATATCCTCCTGGGGAAATTGCAGCAATTTATCGAAAAAATCAGGAACGAATGCGTCGACGCGAAGAGTACTCTCCATCATATTCACGGCTGGTGAGGGAACGAGAACGTGAACGGGCCGTCGGAGGCGAAGATGGTGGTCTGGTTTGCGGGGGCCGGAGACATCACGTGATGAAGCTTCTCAATAAGGTTGCCCGAGATACGCCTCTGCATAAAGTTATGGTAATAAAAATAAAGCTTATGATAATATAATAACTTCCAGAAAATTAGGACAAACAGAAGCAGCCAAGCCTTTATGTAAATTAGCTTTTAATATTTAGCGCCATACAAAATAAAATTGTATCAGATACACACATATACATATGTGTATCTGATACAATTTTATTTTATATATATATATATATATATATATGTATATATATATATATATGTGAGAGGGAAGGAGGGAGGATTTTATTCCCATATTTATCGTAACTGTTTAGGTTGGAAACGATGCTCGCCTGGCTAGCGGAGCGATTTTAGGGAATGGCTCTTCATGCCTACTTGGAGCTGCAGCTGGATTACGGGGGGCTTCCGGCTGCGACTCACGTCAAGATCTGCCTTCGCTCTGTGGTGCTGCGGGTAATGGCCCGAACCATTCGAGTTCTGGAAATGGGGCGCAGTACATTGGAGGGCCTTCCGGACATGCGGTAATGGGTGGAGGTGACTTAGACGGGGGGAAGCTTGCGTCGCTACCCCCTGTTAAACTGAACATCGCTAACAAAGTGATCCAAGCGGCCACCGGCGTACATCATACGGGTAAATGTATCTCATTGTAGATATTCGGCGAATACTGATTTGGTAAAGTAACTAAATATCGACTAATATATAATATCGACAGAACAACCACCGATCAAGGATTCTAAAAATAAACATTCGTTTTTTGTTCCTGATATCTCTTTAGATAGAAAATCTAGACAAATAAATAGGTAAATAGTGGATTATCACTAAAAGAACGCATACAGTTATCTCTAGTAATTAGAAAGATGCAGAGGAGACTCTGTTTAGTTTTTACTCGTATCACGCGATACGTATGTACGTCCTTTTCTTCGCATTATTGCAAACATTTTTTTTCCGCTTATTGTTTATATTTTAAACGCTAAAGAGCCATATTTTTTAGCTGAACATGCATGAGGCGCATTTTCTGCCTTCCGAACAATCCCTCTTGTTTGTTTCTGTCGCCTATAAAACGGCTATAAAAAAAATGTTAGATGTTGTGAGGTTAACGACTAGTTCTCCAATAACCATTGATATTTTCTAAAGACTTGAATGGAAAAGTCTTTTATAAATAATATAACAATACAGCTACGCAACTCAAAACACTGTGGCACAGCAAATAAGAACATCTGTGAAAATAAGTAAGCAAATGACTCAGATTTCCTGTCTGTTTCTGTTTAAAACTGAAATGTTTAGTACTCCTGTTGGAAAACGGCAGCGTGTTAACATTTGGAAGTAATCAACATGGCCAGCTTGGACATGGTACTAGGTCACTGCGAGGTGCGCCTGGCCCATTACAGGGGATTCCCTCGGGAATGCGGGCCGTACAAGTTGCAGCTGGAAGTAATCACACCGTTTTATTACTCGCCAATGGTGCAGTTTATACTTGTGGAAACCCTCTGGTGAGTAATAAATGTTTTAATATTGGTTTGAAGCATGACGACAAACGTCTTGTTTATTTGAGTGGGCCAGGTTAACTTAGGTTCGAAAGTAGTTCACGAAGTGACAACATCATGGTTTGTAATTATGGGAGAATGTGCTAAAAAAATCGATTACGATGCAATCTTGCAGAATGGCCAGCTATGCCGATCAGAGGAGGATTCTGGTATTACGTTATCATCGGACGTGCTGTGGCACGCGGTAGCCGGCCCTGTGCCCGGCATCGGAGCGCCACAACCACGACGCGCCACTTGGGTCGGCGCATCAGGCGATCACACTTTTATCCGAATAGACGAGAACCTGATCGATGCCAGGTATGCTGGGTGATCTCGTATGCATGGTACAGTTACTCAAGCTCTACAAAAGATAGTTTAATAACAAGTGCTAGCTTTGATTTCTAGTTCTTACTTGCCAAGGAATAGCATTCGACAGAATAAGCGTTGGCTAATGAGAAGCTAAGCTATGTTTTCTTATATTCCATTGTGCTGTTCTGTCGTTTGTGCAGGTGTCTGTCTCAGGCTCGTGTTACGGGAACACGTCACCTTATCACATTGGTGCCTGACGCCTCATCAGGTTCAGACTACAGCTCTCTGATGGTACAGCGTGCCAGTGGTCAGTGCAGAGGCCACTTTGGGTCTCACTCCGTGGGCAGTGACAACTGCCTTGTGCTTGATCACATCTATGACGTCTTATGGAGCTACAAGCATTCATCGAGGACTGTTAGCGTATACCACACTGTACCTGGCCTTCCACTGCCTGCCACTGTACCTTCGGTAACTAATCATTTTTTGAATCTTATGTAGTTAGTACTTGTAGCACTTTCTTCACCTGCCATCCTTTACGTCATCAAGCAAGTACTAGTAATTAAGCTTTTTGGTTATTTCTATTTCGTAGACAATTTGATTGGCGCGAATAACCAGTAGCTACATGTTCATAGCATAAATGTTAACAAATGGCATAAGCGAGTTCAACACAATCGAAGTTTTGCTCTTGTTGTATTATATTAACGAGTACAAATATCTTATTAAAATCATTATTAAAATCATATTACATATTTGTTTCTGTGTACAAGATTTTCTTAAAAATGCTAGCCTGCTAGTTATATGTACAGTCATGTGTATTTCATATACATACGCAGCGCTTATAAGTAGTTCGAACGTTGGATTAATGGTTTATCCTTGGATTACTTTCTTTAGCAGAGTGAATTCGAAATTAGCCGCCAACACGCTGCGTTGAGTCTGGTTCGTTTCGTAGAGTTGGCTGCCTCACACTCACAAGAACAGTTGGAAAGCTCAGCTGTATTACCCGCAGCAGCAAGCTCCGCGGGTGTCGGAACTGGTAAAAGCAGTGTTGCAGGTCCTGCCGCACTGATGGCAAGGAGAACTTTTACCAATAACGATTACCTAGTTGTGAACCGCTTTGAGAACCATGGTGGTGGCTGGGGCTACTCGGGACAGTCAATTGAAGCCATTCGGTGAGAAGTTTATAATTTCATTGTGGAGTTGGATATATCAGAAGCCATCCGCTGAAACAACAACAACATAGCGTTTCTCCGTCGGCTTCAACCGCTTTGTTTTAATGCTGAAGTATGTTAGCAAGTAAGATTGTAGCACTATGGTCATTGATAATGTGTGTTTTAGATTCATGTGCGACGCGGATATCATACTTGGTGGAGTGGGCCTATTTGGCGGTCGAGGAGAATACACGGCAAAGTTGCGCGTCCTCGACCTTGGCGAAGACGGTGGAGATCAGGAAGGAGACGGTGAACTTCTGGTCGACCTTGATGATCAGGCATACGAATGCCCGGCCAGACAAAAACATCCGTTGCTTCTTGATGTACCTATCGCCTGTCAGGCTCATCGTTGGTATCTTGTATGGGCTAGAATCGCTGGTACGCATTGTAGTTAGAGTACAAGTAGTTAGCTTGCGACAGAATAACGCTGATGCAATCTGGAACCAAATTTTATTGGCGTTTAAAATTAACTCGCCATTTGTCATACTTATAATATGAAGAGTTTTCTCTTCATGGTAATAAAGAAAGTAAAGTGATGAGAATTTTTGCGTGTCATCTGAAGCGCGGATAGCTGGCTTCGAAGGCAAATCTGCTCTTGTAATCGATAACCTGTCGGAACAATGAGTGTGTTTTGCATTTCGTAATGCTAAGAATTTGCAATGTTGACTTATGCCTTCTGAAAATAAATGCTCCTTGGATCGACAGCCGTTCAGGCCGTTTCGTCTGGGTACTGGATTGACGTATATGTATATATGTGTTCTCTTTCATTCTGTCTCTTTCCCCTGTAAACATTTTTTTTATATCTGTGCGTAGGTCCCTCGTCGGACTGCGGCTCTATGGGTCAAGCAATGGTGGTGACGGAGGACCAGGTGACCTTTTATTTCAAGGGGTCCAAGCGTTCAAATAATGGAACGGATGTTACTGCGGGTCAGATACCGCAGTTGCTATATCGTCTTGCATGCCCCGAAGCCCAAAGTGGAACTGGTATTTCAGGTTTTACTGCGGGATCGGATGAGGAAGCACCCGTCTATCGCTTAAGTAAAGACTTCTCCACAAGCATTGACGCTGGATGCTTCCATTCGTTGCTTACGCTCATCGAATGGATTTGGACTGAATTACAAGAAGGCAGGTTTACGATCATCAGGCAACAAAAAGCGTAGTTTATGTTCGCATAATTGAATGAAGTTGAATTAGGTTACTGCAGGTTTGTCAAAATCAAGGTTTAAGCTTATTTGTTGAACTCAGTAAATAGCTCCGCTGTAAACATGAGTAAGGCGTCGAAGGAAGTTTCAGCGATGCCTATTTTCAGCTAATGTACAGGCTATTAACGGATGTATCCGTTTCCCTATTTGACAGGTCCATGCGTGATTGCGGAACGTCTGTCCGAGCCAGTTCTAAGCTTGCTTCGGCAGTACGTCTCGCAAGTGCATCCACATTTGGTTACGTCATCATCAGCGTCATTGGAACCTATTTGCCGAGCTCTATGGCTTTGCCGGAAAATGCTAAAGAAAGTGCTTACAACAGGTTCAAAAGGAAGGCCTGCTCTTGAACAATTCGTTAAAGAGAGCTGCGTAACCTTTTTGCACTGCTATCAAACGTTTTACCCTACAGATACAATAAAGTGGCAGGGACTTGGTGAACTTCTCCTTCAAGATCAAAAACCTTCTGAGGTAAACATTGAGACGTATAATAGAGCTGCAATTTGGGAAGTTAAGATTTTTCTTTTTCTTAGATACTCCTTTTAGCTTCCAGCAGAATAGGAATTAAATGAAAGGATCCTTCCTTATTTTACATATTTTTAATGCTTTGGCGCATATTACTGGGCATAGAAACGAATTAATATTGAAATTCAAATAATTGTAAAATTGTTACGAACTCTTTTTACTGGTGCGCAGAAGAAACACCAGACAGGTTTGTCTGCATTAGGTGGAGCAACATGTTCGTCTGGAAAACAACAGTGTCGTGATTATTCTCGGCTTCTTTCGACAATTCTCGATGCGCTCAGCAGTGCGCCGCCTGCATTACTGGCTTCGATGTTGCCAAATCAGCTTTCAAAGGTACGCAGTTTGATCAGCAAGGTTTTTGCTTTCGGCAAAAATGTAGAAAACACAAAAGCTAGAAGTTACTATGGCTAAATTTTAAGTACAATTTACCTTAACCCGTATAGCAGATACGTAAATCGGTGCGGCTGGGTTATACTTTAATCAGAATTTCTCCTTGTGAAGCTGCTATCTAACGGCAAAAATGGAAAATAAAACTAAACTCGTTAGCTTTTTGGACTTCCTTATAGCTTTGAAATTGCGAAACATTATTTAATGCGCTATTTAATTTGCTGTAATTACTTAGGTTGTGCTCCATGAGCGGGCTGTTTCACTGTTGGGAAATGCAGCTAGTAGTAGCAGCCCGCCAACAAGTCCCATGTCTTCCACTTTCAATCACCAGTTACCGTCGACTCGAAGCGATAGCAGCGAAGTTCCAGTTCTATACGGAAAGTACGTAACATGATACAAAATATCTTTTGATCCCATATGTGATGTAGCTAGATTTCTCGTTCTTAGCAATAAAACGGATGGAAAAAGCCATCAAATGGAGTGCTGGAATCCATAGGTCGTCCGAGTTGTAGCTGATCTTACCTGCATATCCAAGCATATGCCGGCCCTTGAAATAAATTTGCTTTGCACTATATGACAGAAACTGTACCACACAGCAAACGTAGGTCGTCGGAACGGTTCATTGATCAAAGATGTTTTTGATATTAAAATGAGTTTAGCAGGGCGTTCGTTTTCTAGTGAGGCGCTTTCTCGTACAGGCTAAGCTTCCTCACCAAAAAAGGTCAAACAATATTCTGCTGTTTTTAAGGTTTTCCACACTAATACCTGCTAATACGAACTTCGCTCGTTTTATATAATCGGATCAGTGCAAATAAATATGACAAATTAGCACACATTTAAATATATTTGAAACCGTCTTATCCACATGTGCACATGAGATACTTAATCTTGGCAACATCTTTGATCTCATACTTGTCTACACCTACATATACACTTTTTCGGCAGGTTACTGAACGACGCAATGTCGGTACGCGACGACGAGGACATTCGCATTCTAGGTACCCTAACGTTTGCTGACGTCGTGGACAAACTGATCAAGATCAGCGTCAATCCTTTGGGGGCTATACTTGCGGATGCAGCTAGCAATGGCAGTGCAGGCTCTAACGGTTATGCATCTCACAACGGCGCGGCAAACTCGGCTAGACCTTTGCCGGCGGATTTGGTGCACAACTCTTGCCGACTATTGACTTCCATCGTATCAGAGATGGCTGCCCGTGTAATAGCCGAACGACCTTCAATGCTGGATGCATCTGGTGGACACCATGTCACCGCACTTAATCCACTAGTTACCCCATCTCGATTTCAACGGCTTCAACCTAATCGAAGCTGGAATACCGGTAACGGAAGTCCGGACGCGATATGCTTTTCCGTTGATCGAGCCGGCATCAGTATTGCGGGTGCTGTAATTTACGGAACATCCATTGCTAGCCACGATTGGGTGTACGAACTCGATCTACAGGACTTTACTGCGGCAGGACCGGCGACAGCAAACGAGCTGCAAGGTAAGATACTCAGTCGAAACGGAATTAAAACGAACACCTACGCAACTGTACAGGGACCGCGATAAAGGTGTCAGCTTAGAGCATAGTGCAGTTAGAAAACGAGGCAAAGTACTTGAAACTAAGACCCGGCGTTTGTGAACGGGATTTATATTTAAACATAAGTTATTTAAAAGCCCGAGGTTCGTGAAAGCATGCTACTATTTCTATTGCTATACTGTTCATTTTCTTTTTGTTTGCTTGCAAAAAGCAATTTTGGTAAATTCATTCAAAAGATAATGCTGCAAACGAAGTTTATAACCGAAGTAATGTGGCCAACTAACTCAATGAGTTCTAATCGTGCTATACAGTGGAACGGTGGACGTTGTTGGAGTCAGTTAGCGGCACCTTTGGGCCAGAGGACTGCACTGGCGAAATGTTCGAAATCAAGTTCGACCGAGCGGTACCCATTAAGAAGAATATCCGCTATGCCATACGACTGCGAAACCACGGCAGTAAAACCAATAACGGGGACTCTGGTGTCACCCAGGTTTGTTAAGGATTATTCTGTCATAATATTCAACATTTGTTAAAATTTAGTTATACCCTGTTCTGTAAAGACGTTATGGTGTGATGATGGTTGCAGATGATAAACGCTATATGGCCGAAAGTCTTGTGATCATGCCCGTTAAAAACAACCTTTACTGTGGTAGAAAAAGTGCACGAGTGTTTACCATAAACTCTTCTATATCGTGGCTTGAAAGCCCCTTATAACTATCCAGTAATATTTGAAAAAATGTTACTTACTGACACCAATCTTATGAGACTACAACGGCCAAAAATGGGGCTACATAGGCCACTAATTGTTTTTATGGGCCAAAGCCCAACACTTAGCAAAGTTGAAGAAATGTCTGTCTTCTGAGAAGCAGATATGGTCCTAGTTAGAAAAAAGTATGCCGCCTAAATATTTAGCGCCAGATGATCTAGGTCCATATAGCCTTTAAGAGAGTCATCGTGAAGATTAGTTTTACAAATCGTAATCTGCTTCTATTTTATTTTGGAAATTAGTAGAGAAATATTTCAGCAAGTGATAATAAGATAGCCCAAATAGTCTTCGGCACTAAATGTCTTGGAAGAAAATCCAGTAACTCGACTTGCTGTAAAACTTTGATCCCTATGATTCTTCGAAAAAATTTTCAAGTAATTTTAAAACAAATACTTCTTGCTAGAAAAATTGAACAGTTGATATAGTGTCGTGTTCATATAAACTCCGTATTTCTTTGTAGCTCTGTAGCCGCCATACCCATTATGTTATCATTCATTATGAAATATAATGTTCCCTAGCTAAAGTTAATTTTTTTTTTAAACTAGCTTTTGCAGTAATAGCATTAACTGCCAGTTTGTTCAAATAATGGGCGGCAACAATATCTGTAAGCAAGTTGTAGGAAGATTATATATATATATATATATGAAAGGCGCAGATTATCTCAAAAGGCAGTGAAGAAAAAATAGTGTTTCTTATTGGAAACTCTTTCAGGTGAAGGGTCCGGATAACACAGTGTTCACGTTTTCTGATTGTACATTAAGTTACAATGGAACGAATCATTCCCGAGGGCAGATACCTCAAATTCTCTATTTTAATACACCACAAGCAGCAACTGCATCCAGTAATACAAATGGACCTGACATCAGTGATAGCGTGCATAATGCAGCTCGTGATGCAGCCAGCATGACACTGACTATTAGCCAAACACTTGTCAACATTGCGCACGACTATATGAATAAGGTACCAATGCTTTACAGTTTAATGTTACCTCGGGCGCTATCTTATACTTTCCTTACAACAGAAAATTTAGATTGATTTCGATGTCTCCTTTTCTGCTGAATCGTCTTGATGGTCTAAGGAAAAATGGTCCACTGTTGTGTTATTGTGCGTATGTTTTTATATTGTTTTACAAGGCTGTTCAGGTGGGGACACTACAGGACACTGAAAGGCTTACGGCACTAGAGAGTACCAGCCTTGTATCGCTGTTGTTACCAGCCGTATTTTCTCAATTGGTGAAAATCGCATCGTCCGACACTTCGGCTGCTGTTCGAGTATTAAATCTTGTAAAGAAGTTGCTTGAGAACGTTGTTAAGATAAACAAAAAGCTTGAAAAGCACCGCGAAGTCGATTGTCAGCTCGACGAACGCTATTATGCTGTGGTCGAATCAGATCACCCGTACAAGCCAGCAACCATCTCCAGGTACCGACTCCAGTTTCCTAATGATGTCCAGTGGATGTCCCTCGAGTTCGATCCTAAATGTGGTACTGCACAGGCCGAGGACTATCTTCACGTCTACTGTGAAGCCATGAAAGACACAGGGGATCGTTCGGGAGACAAAGACAAAGATTTCGATTCTTATTGGCTTGTGCTTAAACGGTTTTTCGGAAGCGATAACTGGCCGACTGGCTCGATTGTATTGCCAGGCAATTCTCTCTTGTTCTCACTTGAGAGCGCGTCCGAGTATGCCAAAGATGACAAAAACAGTAACTTTGGATTCAGGTTAGTTAATGAAGAATACTGTGCGATTTCAAGGATTTCTTTTTCTGACTTTTTTTTCAAGTATTGCTTTCACGAGGCGTCAGTGTTCTAATATATATTCTAATATCATTGCAAATATCATTTTACCATAACACCATGGCATAGAATCGTACTTATTTGCGTAAAATCAACTCAACAAATCGTCCTTAACTTGAATTAACTAAAAACAAGAAAAAAGGTAAGCAATCACTAGTAACAACTAACGTTTTTTTTTTTACTGATCCTAGTAATAAGACTATTTTTTCATTTTAGATGCCAGGTAGTGGGTCACGGTAGTTCGGCAGTTCTGCCAAACAGCCTCGCGCACCTGGAGAAGGAGCTGGCCTATCTCGCGGGGGAGTGTTGCTCTACGTTGCTCTGTCCCGAACCAGTGTTCGTGCACGGTGGCGTCAAATTTGATTCAGTGGACGTAGAGTTGTTTCGAATATTTCCTCATGTCCTTGGCAGAGGTTTACCTCTGCAAAGGTGTCCTACGATTGAAGAAGCCCTTACGAGCACTGTGCCTATCGAAGCGGATTGTTTAGAAAAAGCTTTTTTAAAAGAATTTATTTCCACTAAACCCGCATCATCCGGAGCCAAATTAGCTATGTAAGTATTAAAACTCAAACAAAAAACCTTACAAGTTTTTACAGTACATTCGTTCGGTGCAAAAAGGATCTTTAAGACAAAACATATAGTAAATGACACGTCAGAAAAATAAAGTAGTGCTTTTCGTATTATTTAATAATTGGTTCTAGTAATAATAATAATATACTCTTTATGTCGGATGAATAAACAGGTATCTCCAACCTGAATCATTCGTTGACCCCCTCAAATGTGAGCTGCTGTATAACAGGGAAGAACTTCAACGAGGAATAACGTCGTCTGTAACCGTTATCGTCAAAGATCAGTATTCTAAACTATGTACCGTTCCAAATCTAAAAGTCGAGATCTTTGCCGTTCAGCTTAGCTGTGTAACGGCCACCATAGGACCTCCGGTACGCTATAAGGGTGATTCTGCCCTCGGTGGACTGCTCCCACCAACTGATGTACCCTACGAGGCCACGATTAAAGACAAGTTTATTTATCACGCCATTACTATAATGAAGGCGTATGAGAGGTACTCGTTCGAAGAGCTGCGTTTGATGTCACCGTTAAAACGTCAGGCTACGGAGAGTTTAATGGTGAGTCAAGTCGGAGATGTGTTTACAGCACACTGGACCCCATCGTACGTAGGACGTTATGAGCTCAAAGCGCTTGTCGATGGCTATCCGGTTCGAGGGCCTATTGAAAGTGATCCAGTAATTGAGGTTCGAGAATTACCCCAAGGGGCGACGTTGTCACAGCCGGCCCCTCAAGTTCGTAACAAACTCCAAACTTCGTCATCATTATCTAAAGTCAGAAAGTTCAACACTAAGGATTCGCAAGGCCTCCGTGTCAGAAGCGCTCCAACGCTTCAGGGAAGACAGATCGGAACTGTACCTCCTGGAGGATACATCACGTTCATCGATGCGGTATGTATTTTTCTATGTACGCGAGCCCCTTTCTATTAATAGCTATCATTTCTCTGAATAGATTTTATTCGTGCTTAACTTATTACTAAATTAATTAGCTCAATTAATTAGCTTCTTGCAGTTAACTATTCATCCGGAAGAAATGGTTGCTTTTCGACAAGCTCATCATGCAGGGTTTATGATGTTATTTGTCTGCATTTTATTCGAATTTCAGGTAGAAAATGATGATGGTCTTTGGCTTCGTTTGACACCTGAGTCTGCGCAGCAGCACTGCCGACGGCTGTCACCCTCTCAGGCACATGAGGCGTGGTGCATGCAGTACCATAACCACCTCGGCAAAACTTTACTCATCCCTGCTGAAGACAAAAGTAGCGCCGAGGACGGCAAGAATCACCATCACCACCACATCAATGGGATAAACGGGGGCCAAGAGAGTGTCAGGGAGCAATTTGTGCGTCGAGGACCAGGTACCTACCAGGTGATAAAAAGCGGTTCGTCTGGGCACAATATTCGATCGAGGGCATCCGTGCGTTCTGGTAATCCAATCGGTATGCTTGTCTTAGGGAATTACGTGACTGTTGTCGAGGATCTCGTAAACGCCGACGGCCTATGGCTGAGATTGTCCAGGGACTCAATGCAGCATTACTGTGCCACGGCCGACGGTGAGGCGTGGACACTCGCCCAGAGTACGGCTCTTGGGGGGGGAGGCTGCACGTTTCTGGTGTTAGAAGGTGAGGGTTCAGATGAGGCGCCCAGTGAGACCGAGGAAACGACAACGACAACCCGCGCTGAAAAGAATTCCGCAAACAATAGTAAAGGATTTGACTTTTCAGCCACGTCACAGGGCTTCTTCACCTTTGGCTCTGGAACTTCGGATCATGACGCTTGCTCATCGGGCTCGGTAAGCCCGTTTGTATTCGGCAGTCTATCGTCTACCCCGTCGACGTCGTTGCATACGTTAAACACCGTTAGCGAGATGGGTGGCGGACATGAACAGTCGGAGCCGGGAGCACGGGCGCCCCAGACGACACCACAGCCTCCAGCATCATCAATTGCATTATCACAAAATCACACTCCCGACGATCACTCAAAGACAGTGCTGCAGCGCTGGCTCAAGAATAACGAAGACCACATCGCTGAAGTGAAAGCTAGAGATCCTCCAGCTGAGTTGCAAGGGGTGTCTGTTAAAGAGCTCGTAAAAGCAATAGGAGAGAGTCGGGCCAATGGGAATGGTGCCACGCCACCGGCGACGCCCCCAAAGACGTCGCCAACCCCGAGACGAAGAGCAAGCTCGCCGCGTGCTGCTAAAATGTTTTCCGAACAACCGGCTACAGCGGGGCATCGCACGCCGCAGCCTGTATCACCGCAACTGGCCAAATGTCTTCAGGAGGATCTGGGTCTGGCACCGCTGGCAATCCAGCGCACTCCATCAACGAGTCCAAATCGATCGTCGACGTCGTCAGCGCCAAGCAGTAGTAATTCATCAATCACGGTAGCAACAGCCGTACGAAGTACCTCTAAAAGGATCAGCCCTATCGAAGCCTTGGCGCCATCTGTGGCGCAAGCTGTGAGAGCTGTTTTTGCCGCAGTTTTATGGTATGAGGGCTTGACACCTGAGGCGATTCGTGTTACTTCTTACATAACTGTCAACAGCAAGTCCAACCACACGGTGTCAATAGACGTAAGTTGCACGGAAAGTAGATAAGTATGACAATGTAATATCGTGCAGAATTGTCGTAATAGAAAAAGGCGTTGAAATAAGTGATTCTGGGCTTAACATTTACGAGTCCAACGCGCAGTGCACCACGAAAAAAAGCACTAACAACTATTGCAATTTTTATTGCTCAATTCAGTCCTCTAAAGGATGATTATTTGGCCAAGTTACAGTTTAGAGATTGTTATCCTAACAGAAGTGCCAAAATAACTTTGGGGCTCTCATCATGACAAGTCCATGTTTAGAGTTGTTAGAAAATTTTAGGTATGGTTAATTGTATGTTAATATGATAAACGCCAACCATAATAATCGATTTCAAAAGCTAAAGTTCAGAGCGTGGACTGAAAATATATTACAGGCCAAGGCATCTCAGGACCCTTGTACTACTCATCTACGGACGTTATGGAATAACGTTCTATCCAACTGTATGTTGGTTTTCAACTCGAAATCGTCGTCAGATATTAAAGATTTTGGAGCATCGCCATCGGATATATACCACAAGGGTATTGTAGAACCATAAAATTTGCATTAATGAATTGAAACAGATTGTGAACCTGAAATTGAAGTGGCAGAAATTTCGACGAGCGACTGGCTAGCAAAATCGAAGAGCATCACTTTTATGACAATTTATGAAGTATAGAGAAGCACATTTATGGGCATAAGAGTTTCGAATATACACAGCAAATGATCTAAGCGCAGTTATTTAATACGTGCATTTCCCTACAATGGGCCATTTAGATCGCCGACGACGTTCAGGGAATAAAAGCCGATTGTTGGTATCGACGGCTCCAAACATGTTCGGCAACGCAGCAGTCGCAGCCTCATCAATGGCATCTTCTATTATTGGAGACGGTCTGCCTTCCAACGGCGTCTGTGGCCGTACAGGAGAGTCCAGCGGAGGCACCGTCTCTCTCGCTGGTAGTTGCGACATGTGCGATATTACTGCCCATCCCTCTGTTACGCAGCACATGAAAGCTGCGCACCCCGGCTGTGGAGGTCCGTCCGGGGGAAAAGGATACAACAGCATTGGGAACTACTGTGGAGGTATGTAACTATAACTCAAAGTACATTTTTATGTTCTTGTATGCACGTACCACTAAGATCCTTGCATCGCTATTCAGCACGCTCTTGTTCACTTACAAACGTAGACGTGTGCAGACGTTTTCAAGAATCTAGCTTCCGATATTTGTTGGACTCACGCTAAACGCGCGTTTCTTTAACGTTATATGTTACCAATTAAGAAAGCTTACTAGAGTACATATATTCATATTTGTAACGGACACATTTTCCCACGATTGTTAATCACTAAACAAAAAACATTCCAGCCTGGAGCGGTAACTGCGGAGATGGGGGAACTGAAACCTCATGTTGGTATCTGTTATGCGAAGCCTGCCGGGCTCGATACAAGGCAAATGACGCGAAGAGACGGCAGAGTCAAAACACTTTGCTCAGCCATTGCTCCGGTGGGGTCCACAGTGGTAAGGGTCTTGGAAGAGAAATTCTCTCCCCCATTGATTCTTCCGAGAAGCAAAAAGTTGTCATGCAGGTGAGCTGAACGCATAAAAATGAATAAACGGTCAACGATATTACAGGCAGATAGATGCTAGTAAATGATATCGCATGCTTTACTGTTGTTTACACTGACTGCATATGCATTCGTTAAATAGTGCGTATGATTAAAGGCAAATGTCTTTCTATAATTTGGATTCGTTCATTTTAGAAAAGGATTTCCGCACTTAAACACAACCTATATTTCGGCATAATCGGACACATGACCATGTATTCCGGTACAGTAGGACTTTGATCAACAGCGATTTACCATAGAGATTCACACTAATGTGTGTTTGTGTATACATTGGTTCTCATTTGCAGAACGCTTTGTTTGTCTTAAGTCTATCTAGTCCATGGGATAACTGTGATACATCAAAGGGGACGCCAAATGTAACCGTTTCCAACACAAAAGTTGGATGCGCTCCAACAGAGGACGGCTCACCCGGTACTGCAAGCAATAACAGCGGAACAACTTCCAGTGCTACTAAGCATCCATTCAGTGTTGAAAACGAGTTTGAATTCGCTTCACTGGGGTCGTTGGGGGGAGTTGATGAAGAACAGGCGAGAGCAGATCGGACGGACAGTCAGCAGCTCATTGAACAGTTCGCCCACGGTAAATATCTACCCTAGTTCTTTAGACAACGAGCATTAATACTATTTAAGGCGACAGTGACGATTTTTATTTTCGCTGTAAAAGGGCTATATAACTATCGAATATTAATTGAGTTTGCCCACAGCGTCTTAGGTCGAGAATGGACAGAGTAATCAGCTAAGTACTCGTACTTATAAGGTATAAGATCTTTGCTCACTCGTAGTCGAAGATAAGAGAATAAATTTTTAGGATACTTCATTCTAAGGATACATTCTATATATAAATATACATTCTAAGAATGTATATTTTACACCTACACGAAATACAGGAACAGCTTAGTAAACTAACTATATTTATTATTTCTGTTGTTGCCACTTCATCTTGTTTAGACTACCTATCACAGGGCGCTGTAGCCGAACTGTTGTCGACGGAGCGTGCGCGTCATTCAATGCCACCGGTTGTAACGGCAAACAATCCATCTGCTGCCTCCACCCCTTTGGGACCGCGAACCTTTCATCGTTCTGTATCAATATCGATTTCTGACTGGCGACGGAACCGGCCCTCACCAGATTCAGGTCCCCCGCTAACCCTACTCAATGCCGAGTCACGTCTTGCTGCCCTTGCTACTGAGTCCTCAAGAATCCTGCCAATAGTCCAGTTTGTCACGATCTTCAATGCCGACCTTGATACTGTTCGATCAATTATGATCGAGGCTGTTCGCCGCCTAACGTGCCGTGTATATGCACTCCAGGCTCTTCGCTGGCTACTGCACAACGTATCACAAGCAACATGCCTGCACGATATTCTATGGTGCTTTGTTAGTTCATTAAGCACAAATAACGGTCCTTGTGCTAGCGGCGGGGCTGCCACTAGCAGTATCAGTAATTCTCTTAACGGAGGCGCTGGTGGACCCTCCGCGTCCTCTATGGCTGCGGCGGCGTCTGCTGCAGTCGTCCAAGCTGCGGCGCCTGGACAAGCAGGCCAGCAGCATTTCGTAGGCGCAAGTAGTGGCCCGATTGGTCCGGGTGTCTTGCAAATGCAGGACATTCATGGTGCAGCTGCTGCAGGACCAACTGTAGTGAAACCGGCAGCGGGGTTATTAGGACAGGCCGCCAACCGTGGACAGGACCGGGACAGGGACAAAGAAAAAGAGCGTGGCGACAGCAAGGATAAGGAAGACGAAGGAGTCTGTCTCTGCGATCATCCGCTGGAGAGTCTCGCCTTTGGTAGATGCAGAGATGTTACATTACCATAGTTGAAAGCATTCCTCTTGCTAGTTTTGTAATTGGTTCATTAAACGTTTTCCTGTAGTCCCATCATGCTTGTACTCGATCGTACTCAAACTCTCGAATATACGTCAACAATAGTGGCATATGTACAAGTATTCTTGAGGCTTACTTGAGTTCTATGGACCGACGAAAAAAGCAATTACAAATTAGAACGACTTCATGGGGCGAAACTTATGTTGATAGCCGTGTTGTCAAGTTAGCGTACAATCATGTGTCGTTCGGTCCACCTTCGGTTATATACATAGTTGAAAATATATGCATATATGAAATATGAAAATACGAGGCTTTATGACCTTCGTAAGTATTTTCTACTCATTTTCTAAGGACGTTGAATCTTCAATCTTTTTCCTTTTCTACATAAAATATGCACTGATCGAGCAGCAGTCAGCCAGCAAACTGCTCTGCCTCTGCAGACGGCATTCCACAATTTCCTCGAGTCCATTTCTCTTTTGATGGCGCATCTGCGAACACCGTCGCCCCTGCAACAAATGGCGGTTCGTTGCTGGTGCTTCCGGTTTTCCCCTCAAGATCATCTGTTCCTTCACTCGTCACAAGTTTTCTCTAACATTTCGAAGATTCTTAGCCACGCGGAAGAACAGCCCACGGCTAATCAACGGGTTAGTCTTGTTAAATAAATCAGTTCGTCAATTTGTATCATATTGCACGAATATTGATATTGCAATTGTAAAGGATTCGTTTTAATGACAGTGCTTTCGCACGGTAGCTACGAGTAGTCTCCGGACGTCGCCTTTCCAAATTGTTGTTTGTTTAATCATGTACTTGGTACTACTTCTGAGGTCTATTTTCTGTGTTTTATTGTTGCTTTGCTGAAAATTAGCTAATTTCTGGATATAAGTTCAGTTGTTTAATAGCATAAACTACAATGCAAAAGTGCTTAGATTACCTGATTATTTTTAGCAGCTAAAAGCTAGTATAAACGATTTCATTGTAGTGAGACGAGTTGTCCAGAAAGCTAACGTCCTCTGCTCTAATAATTGTGTGCTTTGAGTTTGTTCGCAGAGTCAAGATGATTCTCGAGGTGTTTCTATTCAACTTCTGAGAGATATCACCTCCCAGTATGAAGTAACCACATCTTCAAGGCAGGCGATGGTCAATTCGCTTGTGGACGGTTCGACTGAAACTTTCTGGGAGTCATCGGACGAGGACCGCAATAAAACCAAATTTATACAGGTCAAAGCGCTCGGTAGTGATGACGCACATTATGTGGCTATCCATATCGATAACACGAGGGACGTCCAAAATAGGGTCGGACATGTCAGTTTCAAGGTTAGTAGAGCAGTGAATTTGAAGCTAAACGGATAGGGACTTCAAACAGCTGTCTGGATGATCTGTACGGGTGTTCCGCTAATTAAACCGCAATATGCCATTCGTTCTAGGTTGGTGACGAGTCTTCTCTAACGATCGTGCGAACTGAAGAAGTAAGCAACACTTTTGCCGGTTGGGTGGGCGTCGAAACATCGGGAAAAAATGCAGCCGGTGCTCGAGTTGTTCGTGTCGAACTTAAAGGTCTTGATCAATCGTTGAGGATTCGACAATTAAAGGTTCTCGACAAGCCAGGTCCTATACCTGATAGCAAAGGTGAGCTCCATATAGAATTTATCTTTTTTCTTTGTTGGCCACCTATAAACCTTGATCTTGTACCTGAAGTAGTGCTTTTGAAGGTATCCACTGCAAATAAACATACCTGACCTTTGTACGAATTATACTGTGCGCTTTTATTCTAATAGACTTTTTCTCCATATCTATAAGTATAATTTGAAATATTAACGTATTAATACAACTGAACATCAAAACTACCCTCTCATTGTTGCCTAACATTTGCGATACGTTTGTCTTATAGGAATAACAACGCCCGAAGTAATTCAGCACGGAAACTGCGAGGCGGAAACACTCAAGGTGTTCCGTATTTTAACGTCACAAGTATTTGGAAAGTTGATCTCTGGAGGGGCAACCACATCGTCGTCAACGGACGGCAGCACTGATCTCAAAGAGCATATGGTTGGCATACTATTTAGTCGCAGCAATCTTACTCAGCTGCAACGACAGGTGTGCGCACATATCGTAGCTACGATCAAAAAAGAGACACAACGAGTACGTGATGACTGGGAGCTGTCCCTGTCAAGCAGCTCGGCATCCCAACTGGTCCCACAGTCGGACGCATACTGTTTCGAAATGTTATCGATGGTGCTAGCTCTTTCTGGCTCCTCTGTCGGCCGCGCATATCTAGCCCAGCAGGCTGGGCTTCTACGAGATTTGTTTTCATTGCTCCATACGGGATCAGCGCGAGTACAGCGGCAGGTGACATCCTTGCTGCGGCGAGTCCTCCCCGAGGTTTCCCCACAAGTGCTAGCTTCGATCCTTCAGGTGCCCAGTTTACCCACGGAGGACTACTCAATCATCGGCCTTGGTGGGGAAGAGGAGCAGCCGGAACCGCTCGATTTGCATCGGCCGGGCATTTTAGATGTTCTGCTAGCATGCATTGCCAAGGCAATTACAGTACAGATTAAGACAAAAGGCTCTGGTGGCCCCTCTCATATGGGGCCTGTTACATCTGGGCCTATGGATCAGGGATTAAAAAGACAAGCATCATCAGCGGTCAGTCTGGCGACGGCTATCCATCCAAAGGACAATGTAGGCAATCGCTGGTGGCTGCGTGGTTGCTCAACTAGAAAACATGCCCAGGTCATAATACAGCTAATCAGGGATATGTGCGCAGGTTTACTGACAGAGAGCTGGGCTTGCGTTGCCAAAAGCGCAATTGCTGAGAATATCATTCACTTGACGAGACTAGACAAACGCTTTCGGGCCAACCCGCAAGAGTGTATTAAGATACCCACATTGTGGTTATGTCTTGCTTCGCTCTGCGTCCTCGATAAGGAACATGTAGAACGGCTCTCATCGGGCCAATGGAATCGTAAAGGTAAGTTAAGGAGATTTTTGTTTCAATCTACCTTAGGATATCAGACGACGATGATCTTTTGAAAGCATTTCATTAATGGATAATAGGCACGCGCAGTTTTAGGGGACAACGATCATAACTGTGATGATGTCAAGTTAGGGGGATCCGTAAAGAGTGGAATTTCGACTGAAATTAAGCCATAACGCTTGGATGCTTCATTTGCTGTGTACTACAGATTCACAACAAGAAAAACCATTATGTGATAACCATGATGATGGCGAAACAACGGCTATTATCCAATGTAGTGACTGCGGGAATCTGTGCTGTGAGTGCGATCGATACCTTCATTTGAATCACCGCCGAACCCGGCATCATTCGCGGCAAGTGTTTAAGGAAGAGGAGGACGCCATCAAGGTCGACTTACATGAAGGCAAGTCTCAATACACTTGACATACATTTACAAACTTTTGTATGCACAGGAAATAAAAGTAAGGTTGAGTTTAAGACATGAAAATGTCGAAAGAAATATAAGAAAACTAAGACTGGGTCGAAAATTTCACCTCAATATGAAATCGAGCTCACCGGAAAAATGTCACTGTGGCCAGAATAAACCATCGGAAATATCTGCTAAAGTAAAATTTAAGCGCAATATAACGTTAACAATTAGTCGGTTTATAAAATACCTGGTAGTTACCTTTATCCCTCAATTCATCGTATTTTAATCGGATATTTGGAGAAGAGGGATTTAATGCAAAGATGAAAACAGTTATAAAATCACCTTGCAATTGTTTCCAAATAATGGTTAGATTTTTAGACGTTCTTAGATGTAGAATATAGATATCGGTACGGAGCATGATACTTCGGCAGTAGAAGTTCTGATTTCATATATACAAACGCATTTTCCTTTTAAGAAGCTTAGACAACTACGTCTCGTCTTCGTAGCGTAACTTCTTATATGATGCCATTGCGTTCAAAATCTTTCGATCCTTTCAAAAGGTGCTTTCCTCCAGTGCATACACTTATCTTTTGTCGTAGAAATATATTGAACATATGTTTGCTTGTATAGTTAAAGAAGTTCTGCATACTAATACAGTTAAGTAGCGACGGGTAGGCGGGGTCAGATTTCTTACTCGTTACCAAAAGCAAGCACTAAGTTCAGTGCTTTAATTGTGATTATTTTTATTTTTTTTTATGCTATTTATTATGCGTCCTACTTCCTTATTTCTATACACAAGCTTATCATAGAGTTACGTTTTTCCAATTATTAGAAACTCTTCTAAAATTTATGCAAAATTTTATGCTTTTTACTTCGGCTAAAATGATATTAAGGATTAAAAATTAGATTAAAGATTAAAAAAAGAAAAAGATTAGTTTAAAGCCAATGCTAGTAGCTTCTCTGCTGTTTCCTTTGAAGGCAACTCTGCAACAGAGAACCCTTCGTGATAGGGGCAGTGGCTATGAATATCAATCAAAGATCTTGCTTGGAGACGATATTAGGCGCGTCAATGCAGCAAGCAAAAAAGGGATCTTATAATAAAATTTTCTTGCAGCTCCCTCCAATACCCGATAAAAGTCGTGTGTACGATCCCAACTCAGCGAAGTTAGCTAGCTAATGTTGTCGTGACTGGCCGTTGGATACCACGCAGTGATAGAAAGACTGTTTCAGAAAGCCGATCTCTTCAGCATCGTTGTTCGAGGTTCGGTAAAAGGCGACAGGTACTGGGGATTACTCCAATCGGCACCATCACACCACCACTTAGCGTCCGTGTTCTTTGGATATCGCCTCTCCAAAAATGACCGGGGTGCTTCTTCCTTTTGGAAGAGTAGTTTGTCTAAAGATATAATATGAAACGACCAGCAAGCAAAAACGAGTACTAAGTCTAAAACAAGACTCCTCGCATATTAAGTCGGCTAGGCCCAAAAATGCTGGTTAAACGAGCCCCTTGAGTGAATTATTCGTGGGTTTCGAGTTTTGGCCCGAATGCGATCGAGTTGTCTAGCGTTTGGTTGCAAGAAAAAAGCTGACTGCGAGAAAGAAGTCTTTGCTGTACTGTCAAGAACAAATCTGACGTACACACGAAGTGCGACATAGTTTTGCCAAATCCGGATGGTAATTGCTTGTTATATATTCATAGTGTATAATCAGCTTCCGTCTAAAATTGAAAAAAATTGAAATTGATTTGAGGAAAGAAATATCAACGTGGTTATGGATTCGGACGGGGAAGGAAGATGAATTAAAATGGCAAAAAAGGACAGATTTTTGTTAGTGTGTATGATCTGTTTTTGTGCATCGTGAAATTGATGTGTTAGGTGGTTTAGAAAAAGGCTATTTTGGTAAACAAGTTTCAATCATGGCGCATCCGCCTAATCTATTCAATTTCTTTCAGGCTTTGCTTTTTACAAAGTATTGAGTGCAGATTAAGCGATAAAATTCTCGGACTTCTCAGTTAGTAATTATGGGGACACAAAATCGTCTAACGTAGTAATAAACTGAAATATGGCATCACCAAAAAAGAATGTCGAAATCCAGATGGGACCCCTGTGTCACACTTTTTATATGAGTTTCCTTTCTAAACAAGTCCAGCTAAGAATGAGTCCGGTGCAAACGTTATGCGGGACTTCTTGAATTAAATTTTGATGATCTTTGAGCAGGGTGTGGCCGGACGAAATTGTTTTGGCTAATCGCGTTAGCTGATTCCAATACACTGAAAGCGATGGTAGAATTCCGGGAGCAAAGTGCCGTTGGTGGAAACGCCGCAGTGGGTTCGTGCCGCTTTTGTAAAGCGCCCCTAACGTCATCGACGAACTCGGCTCTCGGAGCTCTTGGAGCATGCTCAAGTCCTGAATGTATCCAGAACGCACGGCGGGCCTGCACGAAACTTCATCCCTGTGGCCACTTCTGCGCGGGTGTTCTAAATGAGGAGAACTGTTTGCCCTGTCTTCATGGATGCCAGGTACGAAACGGAATACAAAATTAGAGAAAAGTTGATTATTTTCACTGTCATTACGAAGATCTCACTAACGCTATAGTGCTAAAGATTCTATTGTCTCGGGATTCCAAATATTACGGTTTGCAGCAAAAACTTGTTCCTTCATCAACACATGTACATATATATCAGTAAACTTAAAAAAGTAATATAGATTTCCTTTTATCCACCTTTAGCTGGTCCACTGAATGATGAACAGACCAAGCTAATGAATTTTCCGTAACTACTCGTAGAGAAATTCGTGAGGATTTGTAACCCGTATTGAATTTTGTGTATGAGTACCATGTTAACTTACACCAGCATTTACGTAAATAAAGAATTTGAGAAAAATATATGTGCATATATAAAGACGTATCGTAAGACTGACATAGAGCGAGGTATTATTTCAATATTTCAGCGAAAAGAACTTCGCCAGGACGCAGATGACATGTGCATGATCTGTTTCTCAGAGGCGCTTTGTTGCGCTCCCGTGATCATGTTAAAGTGCGGTCACATTTTCCACCGGCAGTGCACTGAAGATGTTATTGATCGCCGTTGGCCAGGACCTCGCATCACATTCAACTTTGCGCTTTGCCCAATTTGCAAGGTGAGAATTACATCTGCAACAGTTGCCCACAGTATGAAGATTCACTTTGACCCTGTCGCAAACTGAGGGAATTCTGCAAGAAACATTGTTAGCGTTAATAGAGACTTTTGCTGCGCGCTTTTTAAATAGCTGGTAGCTAAAATCGATAAAATACCGAAAATCATTAATATGATTGAATACGGTTATCACCGACTATTAGAAGGTGCGTTCTGTGGACTGAATCCTCTTCATAACACCCCTGTTTTTCAAGATAGGTTTTCCGTGAAAAATGGATATGGTTGGCTAATTGCTGATTCTCCAATTGTTAGCTACGACGCTGAACTGTAAGAACCATGACTGGAAACTTTGTCCGAAGAGAGATTTTGAAAGAGGAGTCGTATGATTCTTTCGAGTTGCCCATTAAAATTGTAACTAACGTAAAAGTTAAATGTAAAGTAATCGCATCTTATTAATATTATCGTTTTGTGAATGAAATTTTATTGCATTGAAGTTAACTAACAATAGGGAACTTCGCTGAAGATTAGACGATCGAGTTATAGAACTAGAGTCGCTAGAATTAAAAAGTGAATAGAATAGATAAAATCAATACAACTAAAAAAGGTATATAGAACAGAAGAGGTCAATTGAATTACAAAACGTTTTGGGTAGAGAGACGATCAATGGGAAAATGCTAATGTATTCAGACAATGCTTTTTTAGGCTCCTATCGAGCACACACTGCTCCGTGCGCTGCTCCAGCCCGTGTGGGAGTTGCGTGAGGACGTCCGACGAAAAGCTCTGATGCGTCTTGAATACGAGGGTCTGCAGGCCAACAAGACGCTCTCCCAACACGAGCGGGTCTCCTACGCCATGGAGCGATATGCATACTATGTTTGCTACAAATGCAAAAAGGTCAGTTAATTAGATAACAACTAACTATCGTATCATTAGTTTGTGTGAGTTTTAGCGCTGCCGAGTTGTAATTTTGAGATAAACTGCAATTTACATCAAATAGTACTTAAATGTGCTTAGGAAGTTTTATAGGTGTTACATAGTAAGGTATCGTCGTCCCACGGAGTTACTGCGTATACTTATACACCTTGAGCCGTGAAAAGATTTAATCTCATCTTTGGCATTGTCCGCAATAAATATTCTAGTATGTATAGAAAGCCATACATACAGATTGCATAACATTTCGGTAAATAGCCTGCAACATCTTTAAATAGATGAGCAGGTTAAATAAAAAGACCAGCTTCTAGAATAATGTTGGATGTAGTTCACATGAATATATTTGGTCAGATGAAAGCGTTTGAGAGTATTTCACAGGAATGCGTTTGGAATAAGAAGTTATATTTGATCACAATCTTTGATGGGTTACTTAGAGAGAAAAATTGATTGAATCTGCTTTAGATAGTGCATCAGATGTGCTTTTAGCGAAAGAGAAGCACAAAATATTTGCACAACAGTTATAGTACTCGTATTGTGGTACAAAAGGTATTGCCCTTCAAAAAGTACAGATAATTAATGAATGTCCGTGTATTATTGTAGATTACTAATATGTTTTTAAAGAACATTTATGTTTATTATTTACTAAAATGGGTACAGCAACGACGAGTCTTTTTCGATTTATATTAGATTACTCAATTTAGGGGGTACGCGTTGGTCTCCCTTATTAGTAAAAAGGACAGGGTAAGACTAAAACGAACTTTCATTGCGAGCAACCATCTGAAACATGTTTTTCCCAATTAAGAAAATATATGGTTCAGACCAAACTTTCAAGTTTCAAGTTTAATACTTAACGAGATCCCTTGTTAGCACCTTAAAATCAATAACTCTCCCTACTCGCTGCTGCCCGCCAGACTCATATGTACGATAATCAGCTAATCGAGGACGCCATCAAGTTAGCTTTTAAAAGGTCCAAATAGATAAATATGGCCGCTTTGATGTAAGCTTTGCTCTTTTTTCTTGTAAGGCCTATTTCGGTGGTGAAGTGCGCTGCGAGCTGGAGGCAGGAGGCGCCGGCGGTGGCGGCGACGACGGATATGACGCTCGTGAATTGGTGTGCGGCGCCTGTTCCGATGTTTCATCGGCGCAGATGTGCCCCAAACACGGTGCAGACTTCCTCGAGTACAAATGCCGCTACTGCTGCTCGGTAGCCGTATTTTTCTGCTTTGGCACGACACATTTTTGCAATCCGTGCCACGAAGACTTCCAGCGTGTCACCAACGTGCCCAAAATTCAACTGCCCCACTGCCCTGCAGGTTTGTTTTGACACTGTAAAACTTTAGAAATGTTTAGAAATGTTATATGTTTAGGAAATCGCTTATAAACGGTTTACGGTAAGTGACAGTTGCACATAAATTAATGATGCGTATAATAGTAAAGCTTATGCTGGGATGCTTTTCCATGAAGTATATACACAAATCAATATTAACAGACATTAAAGATAACGATTCGAAAATTATTATATGCGGATAAGAGTTAACAGCATTCCTGTAGGAAGTTCATTTATTTAGCCGTTTAACTTTTTTGCATATTTTTGGCGTTTCTCTTTATTTCCCAAGAAAACAACTCGTTATGTTACAGACTTGTAAACATGAGTTTCTTGAGAACATGCACACTAACAGTTCACTTCTCTAATATAGTTAATCTCATATGCAAGTCGCGCATTTTGTAAAAAGTTTCCACCACTCGTTAAGGTACGACTAACTAGATTAACTTGCCTTTACCGTGATGATGGGGACAAAATAGGCAACTTATTTAATAAAGTGATTTTCTAAAACCTGATTCATTTTTTCGTTTGGTTACTTCTGGTATATTTCAGGTCCGAAGCTAAAACAGTTGGAAGGCGACGAATGTCCGCTTCACGTGAAACATCCTCCAACGGGTGAAGAATATGCTCTCGGATGCGGAGTCTGCCGAAACGCACACACATTCTAAACCGCAACGCAGTAAGAACGCCGTTAACTAAATAAAAAAATACAATGCAGCTAGATCCACCGCTATGCCGCCAACAAGTTATCGTCAATTTAGCATTCAGCGGAAGTACACGCGAGCGAACACCACAAAGCGACATTTAAATAGTGAAAAAAGAAAAGTGTCTAAAGTTTTCCGCCATTAGCAGGAGACTGGAATCGATTTCTGCAAAACTTATCGGTCAAGAAGACGAGATGCTAACGTGTAAGAACTTTGGTATGACACAAATCCATTAAATAGCTTGTGTTTACTAGAGCCTGCCAGCCGTGTACGCCTAGTGGACGCTTTTTGTTTGAAATCAAACTTTTTTTTTGTCGAGCTAGTTAAGGTGAAAAACAACAACAACAGTATGGAAAGCATTACTTCTTCCATATAACGGAGAGACAACGAGAAGCGAGCTAGATGCGTAATTTCTGCAAGGGTTTTCTTGGTAGCGGAAACTCGATTCATCGTCGCGCCGAGTTTTTGAGGCAGGCGCGGAGAGACAGCTAAAGAGGGTAGGGTTTACATAAACATATTAATATGATTATTATTAAAATAGGTGTGCTAGTGCTAGTCGACAGCGGAGGAACTGATGCTTGAGAGCAGCAAGTGATAAAAGAAAGCACGAGATAATCCTAAGATACGTTATGAAAAAAGGTAAACCGTACGAGATGTTTATTTATGGGTTTATAAACAGTTTTAAAATGGGGATGATGGAGTTGAGCTTTCCACGCCCACAGTCTTCTATGGAAGATAACTACTAGGGGCCAAGTGTTAGTCAGGCAAGTGACAGTCATTCGGGATAATGTGAAAAAGCAAATGAACATGTGCAACCGACAGTGCATAAATATAATATGCGATACAAATATGAGCAGTAGGCAGAGTGGTAATGATAAACGTGTGCTAAATTCATACGTGTGAATGAAAGGAACCGGGACACCATTAATAAAATGAAAATAGCCTGGGTCGATTTATGAGGCAACAGAACAAAGAGATGAAAATGTGGAAGGGTGATACCTTCGAAAAGACACCTCTAGCGCAACAACACATGCCACATAATAATGCATACAATTATATATATATACATATATATATTTAAACACACTGAGAAACCTAGATCTAAAGGGTGTTTTGCTCAGACGCGTGGCTGCAAATGGCTTTATGGAATATAAATGCCTTTTAACAAAGGGAGTGAGAGAACGTAAAAAAGCGCCTACGTTCTGCGACTTAATACTACAAATGTCCTAAACTTTAATTTCGATCTAACTAATTAATAAATAATTAATAGTAATACAATAACAATGTGTATTCATCAAGCTACCATACATGCCGCATTACTATGCCGTAGTATAGAATTATCACTAAAAGTTCCTCTCTTGAGAGAGATAACACTAACGGAAATATTCGTATTTTTTTAAATATGGAAGCAGTTATCACTTTGTTGCACATCATCCGGTACCTTTTTCAGTTTCTTTATCTAATATGTTCCCTAAAAAGCTCAGCTAATTCTAGACTTGTCTCGCTTGTCAAACGTTGCCTTTTGGTACAACAATCGTACAACGTGATACGGAGTTTTTTAGTGTTGATAAATTGACGATATTTCTGTAATGCACGTAAACTGGGTCGCTTTCCATGGGTTTTAATGAGCGTCGCGATTGGTGTGATCGGTGAACCTATTGATCGTACATCTCGGACGTCACCAAGGCCTAAGAACATTTATATCTTTTTATATTAAGAAACTGGATGTTGGACTAAGTGAAGATTACTATAATCACTTCACCAGAATTTTACGTTTTGCTGAACGTATTGTGTTCCTGAAACGTCACCATAAAAATTTTGTTCTTTGTTTAGATTTTTCTGCGTTAGCAAATAGTTAAATATAATGAATGAGGATACAAATGTTATGTGCCAATTAGTATATTGATTCTGTTTCTGGGATGTTACTATAAGTTAAGGTTTAGTACCTTATAATAATATATTTCTTTGACATTATGACATTGTCTTCTGAAAATGAACTAGGTAAAACCATACCAGCATAATCATTTCCAAAAAATCTACTTTAAAATAACATCGGTGTCAGACACTGATCTTTCACAAGGTTTATCGGCTTTCTATTTACGTATCGTATTCCTTAAAGTAAATACGAAAAGTGAATACATTAATTTTGTTAGCGACACTTTTTCTTATTGGGAGTACGTATCAGGCTGGATAATGCTGTAACCATACCCTACAGTCCATTGTTCGTTAATTTTTATTCAGAAATCTGTGAAAAGGAATAATTCTACTTGTCTGACAGCATGTGACAAAGCTAGCAATGCTTTGTTAAAGGTGATATGAATTCTTAATATTTCTGATGCTCTTCTGATAAATCATAAAGGCGCGCGTAACTGTCAATGGACATAATACTACATTTACGACTCCATCTATAATACCATTATATCACAACGCTTTGCAAGCTTTTTTTTTTTTAATTATTTTTAAACCATTTCATACTTCGATCACATTACTTTAATATACTAAATAGAAACTGCGTCTTCTAATAGAGGAGTCTGTAACGTTTTTAAAAGTAAAGCTATACTGCACCTTCCTTGGGTTCATTTAGCAAATAGGTACTGTGTGTATTCAATGCAAACCTCAACTGAATACAAAAGAAAGATCATTTTCATTTAGATAAAAATGAACGGTAGTAGGAATGCGTATGATTTTTTTCAAATGCTTTGTGTCCTTTACCACACCAACGCTTATTATCTTAGAAGGACGTATGGTAAGACCATGACATAATGGTAAATGCTTAAAAACACAATAGAAGTGGTTGACAAGAATTCCGACATGGCTTAATCATATCAAATGTACGAAAATCCGCTATTACGCATAACGCAGATCATTGAAGCCGCCCTGCGATGACGAGTGGGAGATTCTCTTGCATCCGCCATATTTCCTAGTCATTTCACACCAGCGGTGACTGCCCCTTATAGGCATTCGTACACAAAACATTGGTACCGATACGTTCGTCAATAAGGAGGGTCTCAAAAACTAACCGAACGATTTCTTTAAAGTCTGATTTGAACATTTCTAAGAAAAAAGAACGAACAGATTAGTTGAAGGGTGGCAGAAGGTCACAGAGAATGGCGGCGAATACGTAGTAAATGGGATTCGTTACTACAAGTGGAAGCTCATCTTTGTTCGGTAAAAAATTCGCGGTTACCAATCAAGCATAACACATCCTTTAGTTAAATAAAGCGTTACAAAAAAATCTTTGTAAATGAACGAGAAAAGTGCGTTCGAGAACGAACTCTGAAAAATGCCGTGACCTTCGTGTTTTAGAGATTTTTGCATGAGCATGGGATTTCGCTCAGGTCAACAAGATAATATTTAAGCTTAAAGCCTGACCTAAAAAGCTAGTCAGCAACATATGAAAAGAGAGAACTGAGTGGTCTATATTGAACAATTGCTCACTTTAGGAAATTCAATAAAACAGGCACAAATTTGCATTCTTGAAAAAAATCAGACTTTTTACATGTTTCCTATTTAAGGATAAAATTGTGATTCTCTCACAATCGTAAAGTATCTGCAAAGTAGGTCTAGGTGGATGTTAAAAGAATAACTAATTCTAAGCGGAAATCGTGCAGTAGCATATCTAAAGTGTAATAAAGTAGATAGCGATTTTGTTTCCGGCATATTTCGACAGATCTGCTGGTTGAGGATAACATGCATACAAAACTACCTTTGTATGCCGGAATTAGAATATAAAATGTTCTTCTCACCCTTCAAGAGACGCTGTATATCGAAACAACTAAAATCGGAGAATACCTAAAATCGTTTCGCTGGCGTGAGGTATACATTCAACTATTTAAGAATTAGATCTCGCCAAATAGTGACATCACCAGTGTAGCAGGTTATGAAACAAGGAAAATTCCTGCGGCAAATTTTAGTCAGGGGTCGACATATGAACAATTTTAGAAATGTTTGATGCTATACATAAGGATCCAGGAGTGAGTATTTTTTGAATCGTACCATGCACGACTAATAGCAGCAACGCAAAACCATCTGTGGACAAATGTCAGGCACTGGAAAAAAAATCCGATCAATTGCTTCGATCCGAAAACGAGGACAAAGTTGCGTGTATTCCGTGTGGTATTCGATATTATTTCATGCAACACTGAATGACTCCCAAAAAAAATGCTAGTAAAATACGTAAGCTTAGATCAAGTAAGTCGATGTAAAAGTTTGTACAGCCGGCGATCCGTACTAGAGTAGCGGTCTGCGACATCGATCGAACTTCACGCTAATCGTACCTATTTAATGAAGAAACTTCTTACGGTGAGACAGAATAACGTTCGAAAGCGACTTGAGACGGATAAAATCTCAGGCACTGTTTCTCGCATCGTTAGAAGCTACTCGCTCCTTCCGCTTAGGCTAGAAAATAGAAATAATGTCAAAAATGTGTCCGACAAATAATCATGTAGAAATGTAAGCTGTTATCAGTAGTTCGAGTCAGAATAACATAACGATTAATCTGAAAAAGTGAATTTATATGTAAAGAAACTGATTTCTATTGGGTAATGATATACAAAGTAAAGCAAATTTCACCACCTCAATGGGTACGTTTAAGAATATGCACCTAACGCAATAGTTTTTTAAACTTGTAGCATTTATACTGTATGGTGCTATCCAATTAAAAAGTTGTACGAATGTTTGGCGCAAAAGCGCATGAATTGATAGGTGACATGCTCAATCTAACCGTCAATTTCGATACTGCAGATAGACAAGGTAGCAGAAATGATCGACCAAACAATCAACCGTTTCTGTTACTGGACCGCAAAAATGGCCTTTGTAATAGTTCACCAATTCACAGCATAGCTAGTCAACCATGCTAAGACATTTTCATAATATCAGATCACTTCGAGGTTCAGTCTATAAAAACATTTAGAACATGGAACGAATTAGATGCAGTTACCCGAAAAGAAAAAATACATAACGTGCTCTAAGAATCGTTATTTTGTTTGGTGTTATGCATGTATATATACATATGAGAGAAAAAGCTAAATTTTGTATGTAATCCCGTTAAAGAACTTCCAAATACACAAGTAAGACGCTGGAAACATACGAAGTAATATATCTTTTTACAGAAACAACACTTCTTTACAAGAAAGCTCTATATATGTATGTATGCGCTGCATTAGAAGCATATTTAAAATACTTGGGATGTAAGTAATACTGAAGTTCGACGACGACGACGAACTTAATACCTCATGCAAAATTCAATCCGTGTTGCTTAAGACAATTCTTCGCATCGGTCGGCCAGCTTCATTCTCCCAGTGATTACTTTAGCTATAAGCATATGTTGTAATCTAGTTCAGTTTGACACCAATGGTAAAGTTGGCCGAAGACCCCTTCAGAAACCTTCTCATACGGAATTGTCACACCTCTTAAAGGTATAAAACTTGTAAGCATTATAAATATTATATAAAATAAGCAGATACCTTATTCGAGCGTACTTATCTCGCAGTGCAATACGTAAGCTGAGGCTTATGAATCATACGATTTGCTGGACAGTGCGTCCAACAACATGATTATGTAACAGTTACCCAAAACATTTTTCATCTCAAGCACAATTTGTGCAATAATAATTATAAAAAAATATCTATGCTACATATGTTATATATACATATCACATCCTAGAAAATTTATCATTTGAGTTGCTGCTACTATGCGCTATAGTATTGATGATCTGACTTCAAATAATATATAAAGTGAAATCATAGGAAAAACTTGATTTTTTTTCTACATACGCGTATCGTTTTAACGTTCTCAAAAGAGCCAGTAGTTCTTACACAGCGTCGCGACACCTGTCGAATTTGTTTTGCTACCATTTCAACGTTAGCGGGAAATCAGATATCGGTATTTGATAGTTCCATCGCATTTTTCAAGCTTCGGCAATCAAACGCCCTCTATATGCCATGTATATATTAAAATCTATTGCTATGCTGATTAAAGTTTAGTGAGATTACGAAATATAGTCATCATACCATATGCAAAGGCGTGCCTATACCAAATATATGGATATATCCATATGCATGGATACAGTTCAGAATTGACCGGCGATACTGCGAAATTCGCGTACGAATATTTCCTGATTTGAGTTTAACCATGCGTATTGAAAGCCGAAGCAAGCAATTCGAAAAGGTTCCTGGCGTTCTGATGATAATCACCTGATGTTCGGGGGAGAAGACCCTCGATGTTCAAAAAATTATTGTGGTAAGATGTAAAGGACCA